ACTACACATCCACCGTTCCTTTAACTTTACTACACATCCACCGTTCCTTTAACTTTACTACACATCCAACGTTCCTTTAACTTTACTACACATCCACCGTTCCTTTAATTTTACTACACACCCACCGTTCCTTTAATTTTACTACACATTCACTGTTCCTTTAACTTTACTACACATCCACCGTTCCTTTAATTTTACAACACATCCACCGTTCCTTTAACTTTACTACATATCCACCGTTCATTTAATTTTACTACACATCCACCGTTCCTTTAACTTTACTACACATTCACCGTTCCTTTAACTTTAACCAGTCTTGTTTGAATAAATTTCTTCACTTTCTCCAATTTAGATGGGTTTCAAAAAGCATGAGCCTTCAAGATAAATTATTTCTTTAAAATTGTTTACTGTTAAAGATCACTATGAACTATACAGCGGGAGAAGGTAAAATTCATGCTGAATTACTTTGTGACTTTGGACTGCCTCTGGTTTTGAATTGACGCAAATTTATTTGATCAAATTTGAGAAATTCAAAACTAGGTCTTCTATACAAGGTGTTATTTTTGAAACGATATAAGATTTAAATCTTAATTTCAATCAAAAGTATAATTTTCTTTAGTTCGACGTTACACTAAATATAAAATTATGCTAATGAATTTTGATAGGAGAACGTAGAAACAAATATCTATTACAAAAGGTTTATGATTTCTGGATTTCCCTGCAAATCCTATTTTTTAGTCGCTTTCGGATTTGCAGAGATTCGTCGAACTGCAATAATTTGCAATAATTTGGCAATATTATTGGAAGAATCAGTTTCACTATTAGAGGCAGTGCATATTTTGGCAGTGAGGGATTCTGACATTATGCACGTTCAGGAGATATCATTTTCTTCATAATTACGAACATTTAGTTCGAAATTACGAACATTTAGTTCGAAATTACGAACATTTAGTTCGAAATTACGAATATTTTGTTCGAAATTACGAACATTTTGTTAAAAGTAACGAACATTTCGTTTAAAATTACGATTATTTTGTTCAAAATTACGAACATTTTGCTCAAACTTACGAACATTTTGTTTAAAAACATTTTGTTTAAAATTATGAACATTGTGTTCAAAATTACGAACATTGTGTTCAAAATTACGAATACTTTTTGCTCAAAATTACGAAGAGAATGTTACTGATGTAAAATTTGAGAGATTTCCTAAACCATATCTTGCGTACATTCTGTCTTTTTATTATTTGCCGCTAAGCGGTAATTATTTTAAAACGAAACGTTCTTATCGTTAACGGTATTTTCCGTTTTTCTTTAAAGCTAAAGTTTCTTAACGATCTCATTATTATTAACGGCATTAACTGCAGATATCTTAGAAATCGTTAATGGTGCTAGGCCTTTGACAAGCCTTTAACGAGCCGATAACGATTATTTTATGCAAAAAAAAAATGAAGACAGGATTTAAAAGCATCGAAACACGTAAAGCACATCACATCCATAAAATTCTACAGTTTGACATACAAGTACGTGAGGGAGAAAATCAGAAGACAGCGTTTAGAAACAACAAAAATTATCTTTCATTTTTTGAAAATTTCTTGCAATTTTAAGCAGAAATAAAACGAAAATTGCCGTTTTTCATAACACATCCATTTCGGGTTTTTTTTTACAGTTTATTCTTCATAAACGGCTATTTCCGTTTTTTAAAGATTTAAAAAATTAACGGCTTTCCAGTTTTTTAACGGACTTTCAAAAACTTCAGTTTCCATAACGGAACTTTGCCCAGCCCTACCCTGAACAAAGGTATTCTAGAAAACTTAACATATATCTATAAATTTGTCGTTGCCATTATTGAATGGAGGGAATACTAAAAGTTACGCTTACAGTCCCTTTATGTCTCAGCTTTCAAGAGTTCTGATACATCTTTGCGTGAGCGCTTGAACCATTTCATATATTGAGATTTTGTTCATAATTGTTTAATTCGATAAAAAAGTAAATCGTTTTTTAGAACATAATTTTCACGTGTACAGTGTACTTTTCTTAACTATTTAACTTTCAAACAAACTCCTTAAATTATGCCTACATACTAAGTTACAAAAATTTCCTTTATATGAGAAAAAACGTTTTGAAATTTGATAATTTTTGTTTAAAACAGACTTACAATACGACACACAGCCGGTCACAAAAATTCAAAAACTTAAAAAAAATTAAACATTAAACGATAAAACAATGAATAGTTGAACAAACTTAAATTTTTAGAAAATTTTAGACTTTTAGAAGGCACCAAAAAATCTGCGAAAATTCCAACTGCAGTAATCTGTAAAAATTAAATTTAAAATTAAAAAACACGAACCCAAAATTTTTTTTCGACGATATAATTCTTTGGTCCGTTTTGTATATCTTCTATCAGTGTTACATTCGTCATAGGGAAAGTAAAATTTGTAAAGGCATTAAGTCTCTGCACATTTTCTACTCCCCATATCCTTATATCCTGATAGTGTGAACCGTTGATATTACTTAAAATTATTTTAAACAGAATTCAAAGTTTAAAATATCTATAAGGTCTTCGACAAAGATATAAGAACAAGAAAAGATTAAGCTCCAAATTAACTTTCATTTGCCAAAGTCTTGCACTTGTGCAGTGTGCACAGCACATACGTCTCACAATAGAAGGACTTATAATTCATTTAGTGTACTTAATCTAGCTGCCTAAAAATCGGTCTGTTACTTCAGATGAACAAAACTTTTTAGTGACAGAAAGTAGTGATAAAAAGTAAAAAAAAACATCACAATTAAATTATTTCTCCTCTAGGCTCCCTAAAATGTCACTGCTTTCAATTATTTCTATTATTATTCATAAATGTTTAATATTAGTTAGTTAATGGATATTTTTTATCCAATTAAGTCTAAAAACTATCTATAATAATACATATTATATATTATGTCATTCAATCATTAAATTGTAATAGGTAATGTACGTCTGCACCAAAAAACTACAAATTAGGAAAATTATTTTTAAGTACTACATTTATTTGTGAACTTATGACTAATTGTTAAACTGCATATGCTCTCAATCATAACATCTTTTATTGAAGAGCTTTTGAGATAATTGTTTTGAATTTCAAATATATAACTAGATAAATTATCTTTGCTCATTTTGAGATAATTGTTTTGAATTTCAAATATGTAACTAGATAAATTATCTTTGCTCATTTTGAGATAATTGTTTTGAATTTCAAATATGTAACTAGATAAATTATCTTTGCTCATTTTGAGATAATTGTTTTGAATTTCAAATATGTAACCAGATAATTTATCTTTGCTCATTTTGAGACAATTGTTTTGAATTTCAATTATGTAACTAGATAAATTAGCTTTGCTCATTTTGAGATAATTGTTTTGAATTTCAAATATGTAACCAGATAAATTATCTTTTGCTCATACTTCAAGGGCGTATACAGAAATAAATCTATGGGGGGGGGCGAAAGCCCAAATTTTTTTTGCCCCCCCCCCTAGGAGGGGGGGGGCAATATTTGAACTGTAAATTCAAAACATCAGGCATAAGTATGTATATAAGATACTCTAAAGGTTCACATACAGTCCAATTAAATAAATAAATAAATAAATATTTTATTAGGCACATAATTATATATTTACAAGGGTTAAAAACACATTGATGAATTCTATGATTAGTACAGTGCCGGGAAACCCGGAGAGCTCATATTTGGCTGTCTGGTCCAGGTCCCTGAAAACTTTAGATTTATGCGGCGTATGATACGATGAAAGTAAAAAAATGAAGGAGAGGTGAATATTTCTGTTAGGGTTCTGTGTAGGTCCGATCATGAGAGCCCAAGTAAACCTGGAGAATAGACAACAAAGCAATATATTATAAGAAGGTATTGTACTTAGACCCTGGGTACAAGCAAACTAAACAGTGCATAAGTAACAGTTACAATCTATGCTTTAACTTTCATCAAGTTTGTGTAGAAAATAAGATTTTAAATTACTGGAAAACGTTGAGCTGTTAACAATGCTATTTTTAAACACTGGTTTAAATTTATTCCATAAATTCGGAAAATAAAAAAGAGGATGTGATTTTAAATACTGGTAATTTAATCGTGGAATTGCAAAGTCTTCGCCATTTCTTAGCATATATTGGGGGTCTGTATCCCTGTTCAAACTCCATGAGTTATATTAAATGATGATGGCAGACGATTTAACCTATATTCGTACATAAAACAGAGGGCATTAACTTGTATTAAATCTTGGAAAGGGACTATGGCAGTTTTTAAAAAAAGTGGGGCAGTGTGAGAATTATAACTCTTATTGCAGACTAGACGTACAGATTTTTTTTGTTGGGTCTGAACTCTAATAAGATCCTTTTTAGAAAGAAGAGAAAATATGTTACTGCAATAATTAAGATGGGAGTGAATTTGCGCAAAATAAATAAGCTTAAGACAACTCATATAAAGTAAATTTTTAACCTGGCTTAGACAATAGATAAACCTTGAGATTTTTAAACAGATAGAGTTAACATGGGAGCGTAGTTTAAGTTTTTCGTCTAAAAGAACCCCAAGAACCCGTACAGACTTTTCTATCCCTGATAGCGCCCATCCGATTAGGATGAATGTTAATTCTAGATAGATTTTTCATTCGAAATTCTGTCATTGTGTTGTGGCTCTGGTCCACGTCTCCACGTCTCCAATCTTCTAAGTGCACTGAATGAACAGCAAACTAATTTTTCTATGTTCTTCACTCTAGAGTTTAAGATTTGAAAAGTGTGAAAGCTCTTAATTTTAGTGGGGGGGGGGTCTACGCCCCACCCTTTACAGGTCTAGGGTGGGGCACTGCCCCTCTGTATACGCCCTTGTCATACTTCAAAACTATAGGAGCGAGGTCTCAAAAGTTGTACCAGTACAGCTGAAAGAATTTTACTTTTTTTCCTTGCTAATTTTTTTTTTTTTTTTATCGAATTGCTTGTAGGTAAAGAGCACCCTTGCCATATACATACATATGCTGTGCTACTTTTTAATTGCAGATTTGAACAATGTTTACAAGAGTTCTAATTGTCGCCTCCGTAATTCAACATAGTTTAAGTATGGTTACTTTTTAATCCTTATTGGCCGTTTTCTACAATGTTATTTTAGTTTGAGGGGGGGGGGCACAAAGAGGTAGGGGTTAGAAATATTGAGTTTACACCATAACCTTCTTATTCGAGTCAAATAAGGCTCGGTCGCTTGAGTAATTTTTTTGTGAGAAGTCTCTCAGTCATCGTAATGTTATTGATGTGTTAAAGTTCTGAAATATGGTAATTTCCGTGAAAACTCTTTAATTGGGTAATTAATACAAGAAATACAAGAAGCAGAGACCAAACCAATACTTTGGCGGGCTTGTGGCGCCCCTACATCTTTGATTTCATTTTCTGAATATAACAGAAATGCCAGAATAAAAACGCAGTAAATGGATCTGTAATCTGTAATCTGTAATTATATGTTCGTAAAAAATTTAGTCTCTGCTACAAACTCTGGTTTTCTAATCCTTGCATCTTTGCAACCCAATGTCGTAGACCCTAGATACTTCAAACTATGAATTCTGTCAGAATAAATAAGCTAAGATTAGAATATCAAAGGTTTACACCATCAGTTTGCAAAGATATAGGGATGCAAACATTTGATTTTATTGCAAAGATCCAATTCCTTTGCACTTAAGAAAGCTGGGGTTAAAACACTTAAAATTCACAAAAAGGATTTCATTATTTGGCGTACCGTCCCATGAAGCATTACAAAGTTGGTATTTTTATTGTACAGTTTGCTCTAGCTAATTGAGAGTTTATAAGTGAAAGGTGTAATTTTAGTTAAGGGAAGAATTTGTTTTCAGAAGTATTTGCAATTTTGAGCGAACACCGTCTTTGAACATTTTACTTCAGTTAATACCTCTGCAGCGTTTCTGAGTGGAATTAAAACAACAGACCAAGCGATAGAAGAACAGGCTGAAATACCAGAATCAGAAGACCTAAGTAAACACAAAGGAATTGAGTTTTGCCACAAACTAAAATTTTCAAATCCCTTTATCTTTGCAACCTGACAGCATGCAACTTTGATATTTCAAACTTATTTTATCTAACAGAATTCATAGTTTAAATTATCAAAGGTCTACGACATCGGTTATTAATACTATAGAATTAAAAAATCAGAGCTTGTGGCAAACATTCAGTTTCTTTCAATTTTTATTTTTCCTAAATGAGAAAAATTAAATGAGCATTTCGTTAAGTTTTCAAATCAAAACAACGGAATTTCAAATGAGCTTTTATTTCTTGAGTGGTATGATGACTCAGATGAGATATTCATGATATATCGAAATAAAATTTTTGCTTCCACATTATTGATCAGATATAAAGGTTTAAAGGATAACGATGTGAATCAAGTTCGACATGGCTCAATATTTAGGAATCCACAATTACATGATGAAGCGAGGGTACTTGAAAGAAAAGAAAAAGGGGGAAAGCCAATTTGAGGAAATAAATCAAGAAAAAAGAAGAAAACGAAATCTCATTTTGAAATCTCTTCCTGGGGCATTTCAGGGGATTGTAGCAAAGGTAAGATATACTTATCTAATTTTGAATGTTTCCCATATATGGTAAAACTTGAAATCCTCCAACTGTTCGCAGAAAAATCTGCAATAGTATCCTGAAGATTGCACAAGCACGAAACAAATTGTAGATACGATAAAACATCTTTAAATAGTTGTTGATATTTCTTCAAATTTTTTATTTATAACTATTTGTTAGAATTTTTTAATAAATTTTTTTTAATTTCTCGAAAATTGTTATACTTTAATGAACATTGTTAGAATTTCTTGATAATTGTAAGAGTTTCTTGATAAATTGTTAGAATTTCTTGATGATTTGTTAAAATTTCTTGGTAAAATGGTAGAATTTCTTGAAAAATGATAGAATTTCTTAATAAATTAGCATTGTGAGTATATCGATTCAAATCAGTTTACTTAAGTTTCCAACCAACAAAGTTTCCCATTCATTTTCTATCATAAATTTTAACAAGAACTTAAAAATGTTTTCTGGAATATTTTTTGAAACCTTTAAATTAAATTTGTTTAGGTCCCTATATTCAATATTGGGCGCCCGTTCTCTTTTATCTCAGGTAAATCTAATTTGATAGTTTTTATTTTTAATAAAAATAAACCATTTGCGAATTGCAAAAATGTTGATAACATAAAGTCTAAACTTTTGGCTGAGTACTTCTGTCACTTTATTCAAAGAATTTCAAATAATTTTAGGTCAGCATGAAAGTTTCATCTTTTGTGAACAATTCTGAAATTATTTTTTAGAAAATTCTTTTGTTCTTCAACCTGTCACCCCCACCACAGCTAAATCATCAACAACCTCAAGAACTACAACAACAAGATCAAAAACCTCTTCAACATCTTCAACAACGACAACAACAACGTCTACGCCAACAACCATCTCAACCTCAACAACAACAGCAACAACAACAACACCAACTAGTTTGCCTACAACAACAGTGGATGATGTTTCAAAACCTTCAGAACCAACAACACCAGAACCTGGGGAAACTAATAGTGAAGGTTGGATTAAAGGGAGTGGTCGCGAAACGTTAAAGCCTGATCCCGAATTGAATTTGGGGTTGATCGCTACTAATCTTAATTCTATCTGTTGCGTCTTTAAATAGAAAATAGTTAAAAACAACTCATGCGGAAAAGCGTAGGATCCATACAAAGTTATGGACCGTAGATAATAAAATTGTATTTAAAACTGATCTTTCAGATATTTTAAATTTTAAATGTCGAATTCAATTCGGGCATTATTGTTTAGTTTAAAATGTACTTTTTATGTACTTTTGAGGACGATTTTTTGGCTGCTAGGTGTCTCTCCTGAGTGAAATCTCTAAATTATCGAGAGCAGAGACACCTGGTGGCCAAATAATCTAGATCTGGTAAACTCCTTGCTAATGGGTCATCTTAAATTACGCTAAATATCTTACTAATTTGACACTTATTTACAAACGAATTATATTATTATCGTCGACCTATATAAATATAAAATAATCTCAAATTGTCTAGTTGTAAGACCTGAGGGTGAACTTGAATCTGAGATTCTTATTTATCCTGAACTCATCTTCAGAACTTTAGGAGGCAACAGTGCAGACCTTCAGGTCACAGTGCAAACTATAATTACAAGTTATCTCAATATAATTTTTAAATAATTTTTTGTGACCACCCATTTATAGAGTTGTCCGATTGACCACGGCACCTATGGGCTGACCATATGTCTTGAGTAAACCTTACGCGAATTACGTCTCATATTTTATTTATTAAAATATTTCTTTTCTATGACTCCCGGAAAATACATATTTATAATTTTTAAATTTTAACTATGCAGCTGCCATACAATTATTTATTAAAAATTTCGGAAAAATTCAAGATAATTCCGACTTGAACTGTCAACGGTTTGAAATGGCATCCTCTGATCGGAAATGTTTACAAATGGGGGGTCACGGAAAATTTCGTATACAACCCCTTTAATACATAAAAAAAAGGCAGAAGCCCAACAAAGTTACGCAGTACGCACGCATGCTGGGTTGAATTATAATACATAGAGAGAGCCTGTTCTAGCCGCGGCGCTCGGTTCCTATGCCTGTCCTGGACGCAGCACTCGGTCCAGAAAGTGTATTATTCCACCCTAACTCTAAAATATAAACTAATCTCTCTCATTTCTGTAATTCAACGCGGCAAGCGCGCTTAACTCCTTTAGGCAACTGCCTAAAGTAACATCTTAAATTTGCATTGATTTGTAGAACCTGGTTGAAATCATGTCCCAGTATATACAAAAAGGTGAAGAACATTTTCCCTCTTGTGTTTCTTGAAAGGAATTGAGTCTTTGACACAAATTCAAATTTCAGCAATCATATATCTTGCCGTCCTAATGATGCATAATTTTCAAACTTATATTATTATACCTAACGGAATTCACAGAAATATCTAAACTCTACGACAGATAGGATTGCAAAGATATATAGATTAGAAAATCAGAGTTTGTGATAAAGACTCAAATCATTTCACAATCTTTACTTTCTTTCAACTAACTCTCTGAATTCAAAACCGTATTTTTAACAGTGTAGACAATTATTCTTTGCACTGCACGGCAAGCTAAAGTAAACTTCACGTTAGTGTTAAATCTTATCTGTATTTAATAATAACTCCTCTTATTAAAAATCTATTAAAAAGAACAAAAATGTTTTAATTTCTTTTATGCTACCAGAGGTGAAAACTCTAGAATGGTGGATATCGAGATCAATGCTTGATCTCCTTTTTTTCTTATAATCTCCAGATTAAATAATGCTTGTTCTCCTCTTGTTATTAATCTCCAGATTAGTTAACCCCTTCAGGATTAAGGATATCCCATTCTAAAGTTTTCAGAGCTGAAAACTTTAGAATGGTGGATATCGGGATTAAGGCTTAATCCACTCTTTTTCCTAATCTGCAGATTAAATATGGCTTTTACTCCTTTCATTTTTAATCTTCAGATTAATTAAGAGAGCAAGATTAAGGATATCACATTCTAAAGTTTTCAGCTCAGCTCAGATATAAATTAGATTTTTCATGCTAGTCCGTAAAATCAACACAAAAGGAGCTACGAGGTCACTTCTCCGTCAACAGTGTCTGTAAAATCAATTCAATAATTTTTCTATTTTTAGAGCATGAGGGAAGCCATGGGCTTGAAACTCATAAACCTGAAATTCAGGCAGAAAATAATGAATTTAAAATTAATTTTTCGCCATAAAATTTTATTGTATAATCCTTATATCTTTGCAACCTAGTGTCGTAGATAATCAAAATCTGAATTTAGTTTAACCATATTAAGGTTGAAATATCACAGGTTTACACCACTTGGTGGCAAAGATAAATGGACTAGAAAATTCAAGCTTTTGGCAAAAAAATGTCGGTGCGACCCTTTTTCAGTCAAGAAAATTGTGTGATGTTATTCGAAATTTCAGTACTGAAAAAGCTGTACAGTGTACAAATATAATTACCCTGGGAAAATATATTTTTCTTAATAAATTACCAATTCTCTATAAAAATTGTTTATTTAACCTTACAAAAAAAATATTCAGAATTTTTTTTCGATTAAAAAAATTGGGTCAGCCAGGAGGAGGTCGATTTTTCAATTTTTCCGAAACATATTGATATGATTTTCCGAAACATATGATATGATTTTCCGAAACATATGATATGATTTTCCGAAACATATTGATATGATTTTCCGAAACATTTGATATGATTTTCCGAAACATATTGATATGATTTTCCGAAACATATTGATATGATTTTCCGAAACATATTGATATGATTTTCCGAAACATATTGATATGATTTTCCGAAACATATTGATATGGTTTTCCGAAACATATTGATATGGTTTTCTAAAGTTGGGTCTCTCACCACTGAGTAATAACCAGTTGTTGGTGTTTAGAAATTTTGAAAATCGTTGGATTTAGTCGACTAAAAACAAGGTTTTTTACTATTTTAACATTTTTGAATTCAGTGTTTCGAGGAGGAGTTTTTCCTTCCCGTATCGACATATTTTGAAGACAATTTTGAATTTGAAATTGAGGAGAAAAAAAATTTCATTTTTGTTTTACTTTTTTTCATAGAAACTTTTAAAACACGTGCTGAACACGTGCTAAACACGTGCTAAACCGTGCTGAACACGTGCTAAACACGTGCTGAAAGGATCTGAACATTTTTATTAAAAAGTAATACAGCACAAAGTAACGGTCCCACCTGTAGTTTAAATTTAGAACAACAGTTCGGGCATTTTGGAATACTTTTAAAAGTTCAATGTGAAAAATTAAAAATGTTTTTTTAATGCGGTACAAATTATACATAAAGATTAATTGAAAAATACAAACAAATATTTTCGTATTTTTGTAGAAAACAGATGAAATCGAATTGAATTCAGGTCTCCCTGGCGATCAGATTTCATATTTCGAGAATCCAGGGAACCCATACACAGAGACAGATTCCTCTTAAAGAGAATGTACATGAAATTTCCATTGTCCCCACATTTATCTAGTTACCCGTTAAACCTTCATCAGAATACTTTTGTAAAAGATATTGATCTTTATTATCAATAGAAAATAGAGAAATCAAATTATTGCCGTATTTCACCATGACTGGAAATAATAAATATTTAGCTTAAGAAATCTCATTCAATCTTCATTAGACCAGCAAAAGTTTTAAAGGGTGAAACGGATAAAATGGAGACTAACTAAAAATACGTTTACAATCCCTTTAGATTTGTTTTTAAGAAAACATATTCTTAGTAAAACGAAGCTGGCACATGTTTTTATGGTAAGTTTGAAATTGTCAAGATGTAATGATGATGAGACCTAAATTTCAATATACACAGTGATAACCCAAAAGAGGAATGATTAGACTTATATCTAACAAGTAATAATTAAACAAATTATGTAGATTTGTATAAGCTCTAAAAATATGCTTTAGACATTTTTATTACTAATAACGTTATAGACGACCCAAATCTTTAGGATTTAATGGCGATTTAATCCAGAACATTTATATATATATATTTTTACCAAACTAATTAGTTTACTGAAAACTTGAAAGATTTAATTACCTTTGATATAGTGAACTGTTGTTTCTAATAATTAATGATTAAAGGGAGTGTCAGCGTAATTACAAAGATGCCAATACCCGATTGCAAACAATACCTTTAAAACCCTAATCTGAAAAAAATAAGAAAGGTTTGATCATTTTCTAAGTTTGATAATTCTTATATGTTTTCCTGCAGTAGAAGTGAGTAAGTCACTTTTTTAAGAGAAATCACAATTGAAAATAATTATCTTTTAAAATTATAAACATTGATATCTAATTTATAAACAGATTAAAGGGTATCGTTGTGAATCGGACCTGACCGTCTTTTCATGGAGGATTATTTGAAATACTGTAATTATTTTTTTCATAAAAGCATTGTTTATCAATCTGAACAGTTTACCATATAATATTCAGATTTAAAATTTCTTTTACAATTTTTGTCAATTATGATTTAAAAGGTTTTCAGTATTTGAAGTTAGTTTTTAAACTTCAAATATTGAAAATACAAAAAGTTGTATGGTTTTATCAGAGGTTACAACTCAACCAGATTTTAGGAAAATTTTTATATTTTATTAAGCTAAAAAATGTAAAAAAATTGTTAAAACTTTTTTGTTAATCCTTAAAAGGGGTCTGAACCTATGAATCACCTGGGGAAAGAACGTTCCACGACCTCCCCTCCTTCCTGTAAGAAAAAAGCCTGTAACTCATGATGGTTAGGGTGCCAGGGAGATAAAAAAAATGGCAAAATGTAAAAAAAGTCAGTTATGGGCTGGTTTGAATGTTTTTAAAACACCAACAAGCTTTTCGACCATTGTGTGCCCTACCCTGTACAGATTTTACTAATTTTTAAATTTTTTAAATTTGTTTTCGAGTTAAATGAAATTTGAATTATTTTAAAGAAATTCTTTTTTTTCTTTTTTTTAGTTTATCAAGACTTTTTATTTATTCTTATTTTCATTTCGTTCATTCATCGTTCATAAAAACCCCATTTCGTTTTTTTCAATCGTTTAAAAATAATTTATTATGTTCGTTCTCAATGTTGTCGTTCGTTCCGAAAAAAACAATCGGTTTTTTAGAATCTTTGGGAAAATTTGGTTTATTCAGTAAAAACTATCGTTTTTTTCAAGATCGTTTGAACGATTTTAAATAATTCGCTTTTGTTTTTGTTTTTAAAAACGATAGTCGTTTTTCTAAACGACATCATTATTCATGAAATATTATTAGTATTTGGAAGAGCTTTTCAAAAAGTTACAATTTTATTTATTTTGCAAACCTTTTTTTTGAAATATTAATCTGGATTTTGTTTAGCTATTCAGATTTGGGTCTTCTTTTTAATTTATACTAAAATTTAAATTTTCGGAAATTTCTTTTTTAATTTTTGGAATTAATTGCTTCTTTACCCTAAAAAATTGAAACATTAAACGATAATTTGAATTTAATAAAGTTATTTTCCCTCATTAGAAAATTATTTGATTAGACATTAATCCACTTTTGAAAATTATTTTATCAAAATTTGAAAAAAGTAATCTTGTGTTCACAACTCATGCACCAACAAATCAAGGAAAATGTGAAAAAATCGTATATTCAAGAAGATAATAATTTTTGAATTTATTGTAGAAAAATCAATTTTTAAATTGAATGAGTTTCTCAATTCAGAAGATAATAATATTGCCACTTTTGCTGCTGCTGATGATACTGCTGGTGCTGCTTCTACTACAACTGCTGCTGCTGCTGATGATAAAGATGATAATGATGATATAGATGACATGGATGAAGTAAAGGATAGTAGCAATGACAAAAATAATGGTGGTGATGATGAAAATAAGGAAGATCCAAGGTACAATATTTATTAAAAAAGTTGGGGTTGATTTCCACATAGATTTCATTGTTTATTTGGCGTGCCGTCCCGTTTTGCCCTATGCAGTCTGTCAGTGTACAACTTGCTCTAGCTGGTTAAATTTGGACCGGTACTTCAATTGAACAGGAGTTTCTAGCGTATCAGGCATTACAAAATTAGGGACAAATTTAAATATTTACTTACTTGCTCAGACCTCCGCTGTCGGGGTAAGAATTAAAATGTTTATATTAAAATAAAAAAATTCTAAAACATAACTTTTGCAAAATATTGAAACAATTAAAAGATGACTCGAACTATTAAGGCAAAGACAATTTTGATTTATGGATCTCAGGCGCATCCTGAAGTGATGTAATTTCAAGTTGGCCGATTAAAGCCATGTTTTCTTCTTGAAATTAGATTTTTTAAATTGTGGTTTCTCTGCAAAACCAACTTATAGATTTTTACTACAGAACAAAAGAGTAATTATTAGAATTAACATTTCCTACAGATATTTTCCACACTATTGAGCATTTTCACCGTACCATTGAGCTCAATTTTTTTATGTCAACTCATATGACCCTGCGGTAGATTGTGGATCGTTAAAATTACAAAAATTTGGCCCGGAAAAAAGTTGAAAATGCGCCAATTTTAATAGAAAAATCCACCAAATTTTAACTGATGACTAAAAATTTTCAGACCAACTGTTAAAGAAGGCAAAAAGTGACCTAGAAGTCTCGTCTTGATTATTTTTAAATTGTTGAAAAATCCCATTTATTGATTAATTGATTAAGTTCTGGCAGCTGGTGGCAGGATAAAGAAAATGTAATAGTGCAGCTGGTCCAGGCTTCTAATCAGGTAAAAATATATTACAAATCTATATATTGTCGTTGAATTTGTAACCAATAAACTTCAAAACGGCTGAACCTGTTAGACCGAAATTATTTTATATTTTTTAAAACTTCTAAAAATTTACAATTAAAACAGAAAATTGGCGAAATCTTTCATTCTTATTATATTCCCCAGTCAAAATTTCAGGCCAAATTGTAAAGGGTTGTGGCCGTGTGGCTGACACACAAACAGACGCCCAAACACCAATTACTACTTTTTATAATTCGGAGAGCTTGGGGCAGGTTTGCTCTGGAAACTAAACTTTCACTAAAAAAAGGGTGTGTTCATCTTGGTATTTCAAACCAAGCTATAGAACATATTTAGACTGCACTTCTAGGGTGCGAAGCGCCCCCTATTCTGCTTTTTCATTTTTTATTTCTTAGATTAAAAATTACATTAATATAGACCCAAAAAAGGAAATATGGAGGTCTTGTTGAACAATACTTTTTAAAGGAAGTGAAAACTTGCCACAAATTCGAAATAGCTATAGTCCCTTAATCTTTGCAACCAAATGGTGAAAACTTTTGATTTTTCAAACTCAGACTATTTAATCTAAAAGATTTTATTGTTTGAAAAAAACATTGATATAAAACATTAAGAATGGAATTTAAAGAATTTGAGCTAGGTCCCTAAATTACCTGATTCCGCCCGTTTAAATATTGAATTATCGATTCAAAGTTCAGCTACCTCTCCAAATTATTTTAATGGGTCCCAGGGTGCAAGGATATAGGAATAGTAAAATCAAATTTGTGGCTAGTGACAGTTTTTTAAGGCTCCAGTATCTTTCAATTTGTTTTGTTTAGTTTGGTCGAGAGAATTTTGATGTTGAACTTGAGAATGAGCCGATGAGTGAGAATATTCTTGAAACTTGGTCTTCAGCAGATCCCTACAAACTGTATTTCTTAAACCATATGCAGGCTATTCAGTCCACTAACTGGACCATACCAACAGATATCTTAACCAATGAGAATGTAGCATCTCAATATTACAATGATCAAAACCAGTTTGTTGATTTTTCAGCCAATAAGCATGTTTTAGTTTCTGATCCCACCAATCAGAGCTCGGCTACAGAATATCTGGCCAATGAGGACTCATTTGAATTGCCAAACCAAACCAAAGAACTTGATAGAACTTTAAACCAGTATCACACAAACCTCAGTGTTGATTCTTTCCGAACCCTCCTTGATATTCTTTTAAATTCCAGGGGAAAAGTGACAATTTCAGTCGATTGACAGTCTTAAATATTAACTTATGAATTGTAATAAATTTAGTATTTAAATAAAAAAGTGCATTGTTTTATTGAACTATGAGTTAAGATTTAATCCAGATTAAATACATTGCTACAGACAAAAAATTTGTCTAAATTTCAATAATGATGTGTGTGTGTCCGACTCATAACTTCGAGATTTTGAACTTGTCATTTTAAAACTTTGATAGATATTTTGTGACATAGTGTTTTTAAACTAATGTGTGAGATTTCTATAAATAATGTGGTAGCAAAAAACGACATTAACTAAAGTTTATAATACTTCTATAGGGAACCCTAACCTTCGTCTGCCAGGAGCTCCAATATAATTTTGTGAAACTTTTCAATATAATTTTTTGTTTAAAAGACAGTTCAGTATCCTTGCCATAAACTGTAATCAACTGATGTAATTATGAATTATCATTTTAACATGTATAATTTTCGACTAAATATATGTAATTTGATTTGATTTTATTAACGTATTATATTCACTGTATATGATGTTTTGTAAACCAAATAAGTTTACTATAAGCTTAAAAATAATACTTTCAATTAAATTGATAATTTCATGTTACCATTCATGCAAAGATGGCAATGCATTAATATCCGTGGAAGATACAGTCGTTTTTTTAGGTATAAAAGTGGTGAAATATGTATAATTCCTATATGTTTTCCTGCAGTTGAAAAGCGCAAGTCACTTTTGTAATAAATGCACCTGTGAAAACAATCAGTTTTTATAATTATAGACATTAATATATAATTCAGTCTTGCCAGTTTTTGCAATCTTTTAACTTGGTGATTCGCTTCAAATTAGCCTAACAGTCCCTTTAAGTCTCACAGTCGTCTTCCCATTCCCAATGAACTTCTCAAAGTGTGTATTTAAATATTGTGTACTCTATACTTTCTTTGTATCGGAAATTAAATTACAAACATGTTGGAAATTTAAACAATTTTGATTTTATTCAATTATTTGTAATATATGCAATAAAAATCAAACTTGTAAATTCATTTTGCGAAAATATTTTGCTGGATTACAAGTCGTCTTCTTCTTTTTTAGAAAATTTGATGTTTAGTGCATCACACTGTAGGTGTAAAAAAGGAAATATTAAGATATGCCTGGAACTTTCTTATCAAAGATATTTCTTCAGTTTATTCTAAACTCAGGAAACAACAATAGTATAGTTTTAACAGTTAAAAACTAAAGTTTTAACAACTATAGTTATAACAACTAAAGATATAACAACTATAGTTATAACATCCATAGTTATAACAGCTATAGTTAGAAAAAATATAGTTATAACATATATAGTTATAAAATCTACAGTTATAGCAAGTATAGTTATAACAACGTATATAGTTATAACATCAATAGTTATAACAAGTATAGTTATAACAAATATAGTTATAACAACTAATTATAATTATATAAAACAATAGTTATAATAACTTTAGTTATACAATTTATAGTAAAGTGCAACTTTAGTTATAATAACTATAGTTATAAAATCTATAGTATAGTATAGCTATAGTTATAACAACTTTATAATTATTTTAGTAATAAATCTATTCTTTATATACATATATATTAATTTGTAACATATATTAGCTATATCTAAAGCTTTATATTAATTTTCAAAAATCGGGTTTTAGACGAATTTTTATATTCGATTTTTTTTGAAATTCCACTGGCAACGCCGGAATCTTGAGCTAATACTATTGTGTAACAACTATAGTTAAAACATCTCTAGTTATAAGAACTATAGTTAGAACCATAGATTAATTTAATTAACAGATAGAACACTTGATGTCGCCTTTTCAAACTTTGGATGAAACTCGTACACAAAAACCCTTAAACAGAAGCCCAAAGGAGTTTCGCGCAGTCAGCGTAGAATTACATGACAGAGAAAGTGTGTTCTACGCCGACTGCGCAAAACAACTCTGGGCTTATGCCAAAGGGTTATTGTGAACGAGTTTCATCTAAATCTTGAAAAGGTGACATCTATTAAGTGTCTTATCTGTAATTTAAATTAATCTATGGTTGTAACTCGCACAAGTTATATCGACACGTGCACTGGTTAAAAAAAAATGTTGTTCAAAATATTAAACTACATTTCGAACTAAATTTTGAATTTGTTTCCAGTAGGTTTGGTAATATCAAATTAAAACCTAATTGGACGGATTTAAGTTTTTTTTTTAAATTATAGATTAATAAAATTATGCAACCTGTGATTAAGTAAGATTTGCATTTCGCGGAAAAGTGGCAATCTTATCGTTTTATGAGATGAAAATGCGCGATTTTTTCACGAAAACCTTGAGAAGCGGGATATTTTTTTGCTATATAATTGTCCACTGTTGGGAAATCATAGGTCGATAATGTTAGTCTAAAGATGTAAATTTAGAAAAATAGTTTTAAGTCGTTTGTAATGGAAAACAAAACTTAGTTTTGTCCGGGAAACAATATTTTTTTTAAACTTTTGTTTTGAATATTTGAATAACATAATTTTCGTTTTAAACTTTATTCTGAGAAGTTTGTTTTCTTGTGAAATTATAATAAACCCTAGAAACTGTTCTAATTCAATCGTATCAATTGAAAAAATGACAAAAAATTTCATGCATGTTATGTTGAATCTCCATGTTTAACAAGGAGAGATGAAACTTTTCAAGAGTCTTCAGTTAATTTTCATAGAAGGCAACTTATACGCATAAACTACAGAGTGTTCTGTAAAACTCTCTCCACTTTAGAAAATATCCCTGAAAACTCTCTCAAGTTCATGCACAAGGTTTACTGCAAAATTCTCCCCACTTTACAGGGTGTCCCGTAAAAGTCTCTACATTTAAAAGGGTGTCTTGTAAAACTCTTTCTGGTTTACAGGGTGTCATGAAAAACTCTCTTCACTTTACAGGGTGTCCTGTAAAACTCTCGTGACTTTAAAAGGTGTCCTATACAACTTTCTCCACATTACAGGGTGTCCTTTAAAACTCTCTGCACTTTACAGGGTGTCATTTAAAACTCTTTTCACATGACAGGGTTGTGTTTGTTGATTAGTTTTGCTTAGAGGTACAAAATAAATAAGATAAATAACACAGGAAATATTTTTAAAAGAATTCATAATTTTCAAATAAAGCCTTAAAGTCGATAAATGTTTAGATAATTTTCTAAAAATGTTTAATTGATTTAACATTAATTAATTAATTAGGGTCTATCATTTTATTGAATTCTGATCTTTTTCTAGGAAACTAAGCTTAAACTTCTCCGATCAGTTTTACAAGATTATCAGAAACTTCTTACTGTCAGTAGATTGACAAATAGCTCACGCGAAATTAACTGACATTAAATATGTCCTTAGGCCGAATTTAAAGAATTTGACCGGCGGTTTGAATTTAAACCTCGGATTAAATATGCTTGGTTCCACTTAAAATTGTATCAAATGTTACAAGATTTAAGCCGGTGCTTAATTTAAACCGGGTTTTGGCGGATTTAAGGTGCGGCTCAAATTCTTTAAATTCGGTCTCTGATTGAATAAACTCAGAAACTAGAAACTTTCTGTTAGTAAAAAATCTTATGAAAAACTAAATAAACCTATTCTCTAAATATCTAAAAACTATTTCATTGAAATTTAGCACATTCATCTTGGACATCTGAACTGCCGTGAGAGTTAACAGCACATACATTCTTGGACATCTGAACTGCTGTGAGAGTTAACAGCACATACATTCTTGGACATCTGAACTGCCGTGAGAGTTCATAGCACATACATTCTTGGACATCTAAACTGCCGTGAGACTTAACAGTGTTCCTCGTTATTTTTGTTTTTCAGTTTTATTACCATTGTTTGGAGTTAGATATTGGCCAATCAGGGATCAAGCACATTGCACAGTAGATTCGGATTGGGTTGTTAGATGATTGACGGGGGAGGGGGGGGGGGGTAGTCTTCCGAAAAATAGAGTAATAACTGTGAGATTCTCAGCAGGGGCGTATTTTGCTTTATGATAATGGGGTCTTCGCTTTGGAACAAACACATAAACGATTTCCTGTGATGAAAATGTTTGCGCAAATTGTACAAAATTGCACTGTAATGCGCCGAATAGATTTTACTATAGCTGTTTCTTAGCAAATTTGCAAGTTTTTGAAAAACAATGTAAGAATTTTTGCGGGTTACTTAAACTTCAGTTCCTTTAAAGTACCACACCGACTTTTAAGCTGTACAGTATAAAAATAATTTTTTTAATTCAACCTGTAACATTTTAATGATTTATTTAAACTAAATTTGTAGTGAATAAAAGGTTAGCACGGGCAGCCGTAGTGCAGAAACTCAATAGGACTAGCCGGTGCAACAAGGTTGACGAGGTCAGACTTGAGGTTGAATTTTTACTAAAGGGACAGAGGTGCGTGTTATGTTAACGCCTTTTTTTCGGGTTGAGCGCTGCAGCCACATATCTGTGGTTGAGCGCTGCAGCCACATATCTGTGGTTGAGCGCTGCAGCCACATATCTGTGGTTGAGCGCTGCAGCAACATATCTGTGGTTGAGCGCTGCAGCCACATATCTGTGGTTGAGCGCTGCAGCCATATATCTGTGGTTGAGCGCTGCAGCCACATATCTTTGGTTGAGCGCTGCAGCCACATATCTGTGGTTGAGCGCTGCAGCAACATATCTGTGGTTGAGCGCTGCAGTCACATATCTGTGGTTGAGCGCTGCAGCCACATATCTGTGGTTGAGCGCTGCAGCTACATATCTGTGGTTGAGCGCTGCAGCAACATATCTGTGACTAGATTCGCAGAGAGAATGCTCCCCCTTCACATAAAGCTTTAGGGGCGAGAGGATTGTTGCCCCCCTCCCTCATGAATACTTAAAAGCAAAATTTGATAAAACTACAACAAAATATGGTAAAATTAGCTTGGGGTGGAAATTCTATATAACAAAATGCATGTTTTTTTGTGTCAAAGCCACGTGGCTAGAGCCAGGAAAGACTAATGGATCAATGGTCAAATGAATAAACTAGAAAATGAAAAAAAAAACCAGTTTTTCTTTTCTATTATTTATTTTGATTCCCTGTATCTTCTCCAGCAATACTATTTCCCAATACACCCATTTATACATAATATTTCCGCCCCTGTCAGTGTTATCATGCCCACCCTTCCACTTCAACACCCCCCCCCCCTCAATCCTACACCTCCCTCCCCGCCAACCCCTTCCGCCCATCTAAGATAAATCCAAGAACCGACACCGGAGGATCTCACAAGGGTAAACTTCTTCTCAGAGAATGGATACATCTCTTGGCGGTGGGAGGATACAGGATACAGGTATAGGAGGATACAGGATATAGGTATAGGAGGATACAGGATATAGTTATAGGAGTATACAGGATACAGGTATAGGAGGATACAGGTATAGGAGGATACAGGTATAGGAGGATACAGGATACATGTATAGGAGGATACAGGATACAGGTACAGGAGTATACAGGATACAGGTATAGGAGGATACAGGATACAGGTATTGGAGTATACAGGATATAGGTATAGGAGTATACAGGATACAGGTATAGGAGTATACAGGATACAAGGATACAGGATACAGGATACAGGATACAGGATACAGGATACAGGATACAGGATACAGGATACAGGATACAGAATACAGAATACAGAATACAGGATACACTTACGTCCTTTGCCCATGTCGTTTTACATTTCTTGAAGGAACAAAAAACAAATCTGCTGGCCCAGGCCTGTTGGTCTTTTTTCATTATGAAAACTTCTATTATAACGATTATGTATAATATATAACGAATATATATGATATATAACGAATATATATAGTATATATAACGAATACAACTCTAAAATAATTTATCCGTTAATTTTAATAACAGGTTCTCATGACAAAGAATATAAGTGCCAAATTTTGCAACAGAGAAAAAAGTCTTGAAATAATGAACTTTATAAAACTTGTTAAAATTAACAAGCTATTCAGGCTGACGTATGGTTTACCCGAAATAGTCTATTTCCTTAATGTGATACAAATCTATAACATTCAATACATTTTATATTTTAATGACAAACAAATTTGCAAATTTGCAAAATTTCAAATATTTATTGCAATATTAAGTTATAAAGCAAAAAAAGAGTAATAACAACAAGTGCGAGAAATATGATAAATTACACATTTTTGAAAAGCCCTTAGCGCGGCAAATTGAAATAAGCAAAAATATTTGCAAAATTTTCAAAAACTAAATTTGTATTCTTGGAAAACTAAGAATGCGGAAAAATCTGTACAATTTTTTGTTCGCAAAAATTTTGCAATCTGCTTTCTTTTGTTCAAGGCTTTCCAAAGAGCTAGAAAACCTTGACCAGAAGTAGGTCTAAATATAGATTTAGTCGGGTAAAGGTAAAATAGGGCATTCAAGCTGTATATGCCTGAGGACTCAGGCAGTAGGTATAAAAGCTTTGAGCCTAAAGTGAGGGGCATGTGATAGCTAGAAAAGTAAAAAATTTTGAACAGCCTCAGACCAATTTTTGAGAAATCTCCAAAAACGTCACCTCCCCCCCCACCCCCGTAGGAATAAGTTTAAGAGATCATTTTTAAAAGAAATAATATATAAGCGTTGGCTCAACTGTTTGCGACTTCTTCTCGATTTAAATTTTTACAGCTACAATATATAAAAAATGTGACACGTACATATGCCAGCATTTTATGCGATCTAATATATATATGAAAGGAAACAATTAAAAATAATGATACTTTAAGAACCACAAATTATCTGATTACCCATTCTCCGAGTTAAACCCTAAATAAGCCATACATCGAAAGAATTCATCAAATGTCGTATTCTTCACTTTCTAATAATGGAATGTTGCAGATATTTAGTTTTTTTTTAATTAAATGCTTATGTGTAACTCTTTAAACTGTTCCCGCATAAATGGTTATTAATTTATTTTCGCAAATACTGAGATTTACGTAAAAGAGTATAAAACCTGTTGAAATACTGTCAAGACGACATTTGATAAATTCTTTCGATGTATGGCTCATATAGGGTTTAATTGTAATTTATCTTTTTGACCTCTTTTATAAGAAGTAGGATCTAAACGATATAACCTTAATAGAACTACGTAAAACGTTATTTCTGATGATATATTATGTGTATCAAGCAGAGCGTAATAATTGAATGTATGAACTATGTTTATATAACTTTAAAGGCTAGAGCATTAAACAAATTAGGCCTCTTTATCTTTAATGGATAGGATGCTAGGGAGGTTTTAAAAAGTTCAAAAATACGTAGGAAAATTTCTAAATAATAATGATAATACATTATGATAAAAATTGGCGAAACAATTAAAAAGTTGTAACAAAAACATTTTTTTTACATTTTTTGACAAAGGATGTCTTCGACATATCATTCAGATTAACCATTTGGACGACATAGATCCAGAGAACTCTAAAAAGTAATTTTTAAAGTCTGGGTCAATTTCAAAGTTTTGCATCGCTTAGCCTTTGATATTCCTCACTAACTATACTTTTCTGTAGCCCTAGACATTTACATAATAGAAATTTTTGAGAAATCATTGGAAAACTATAATCAATTTTTGTATGAGAGCTTGCAACCTTTGGATCATTGTAGGCGCCGCATGGGTAATTTGCCTGGTAACATTAGAGATGGGGATTGGGCATGTTAGAATTTTTTCCTTTAGTTCATTCATCGTTCGTGAACAACCAATTTCGTTCGTGTTCAGTAAAATTTTTCATTCCAAAAAATCGTCCTTTAAGTAAAAAAGCGTGTTTTTTTAAATTTTGTTCAAAAAAACATCCGTTCAGTAAAAAACTAAATTTTTAAAAAATATTTTGTTAAAGAAACAACTCTTTCTTCCTAATCTTTTGGAAAATTCGTTAGTTCAGTAAAATTACGATCGTTTTTTAAAGTTTGTTCAAATGATTTCCCTTTTTCATTCCCTATAAAAAAACAATAATTTTTTCATTTCTCTGAATGATCCCTTTTGTTCATCAATCGTTCGTTTTTCTTCTGAAAGACATCCCTTTTCACGAAAAATTTCGTCCGTACTCAAAAATTTCATTCGTTCAAAAAAAACGACACCCATCTCTAGGTATCATCTGTATGTGTACTGTAGAGCTCGCGCGCCCTAAGCTGGTTATGATGGCAGCCCGGTTCTTGAAACCAGACTTTACAGTAACATTTGATAGTTTTCTCTCATATGTAAATAAATGTTGAATGTTGAAGGCACATGATACAAAATAGCGCGTGGAATCATCAATTTTTGAGCTAATAATAATTCAGCCAACCGCCCACCGGGTTTTCGTCACATAAAAGAAATTTCGCAATAAAAACAGATTGAAAACTGTTCATACAATTCAAATCGGACGATTTAATATTCTCTTTTTTCTGATTTCTTAAATTAAAATCTTTGCATCGATCTTAAAAACAACTTGGGAGTTACCTTCAACAATACTCTCTTAAATTCCCATCTCTGGTAACTTCAAATGAACTGGAGATTGCAGTTTGTACAGACACTTTTCCACTCAAAATTTAGTGGCATACATTCATTCTTTAATTTCTAATCTCTATTATAGTTTAAGCGCAGCTTTAAATATATTTAGTCAACTTTAATACTTATTTTAGAATGGTTTGCTAAAGATGACGGTTAAAGAAGATGAAGGAGGGGGGCCAGGGCAACAGGGGTTTCCAGGGTTGGGTGGAGAATCTACAGTTAAGGGGTATATAATCGATGATGACGGACTGGGAATGAAAGCATACGAGGAACAGAATAAAGCATATTACCACTGATGTTCATAATATTTAACTTGAAAAAATTAAATTGATCATATTATGATATAAACACATAATTTCAATGGTTCTAGAGTAAAGACTGATCTTAATAATTTAAATATTTGGTCTTAACATGGCAAGGGATCCCACAGTTCAAGTTAAGATATCTTGCAAAAGATCCCATTGGAAGGTTAAGATATCTAAACATGTCATAGAACCAGTATGCTAACATCACATAAACCCAATTGTTGCAGGATCCTAACTCGTATACAAGGATTGACTTGTCTAGTGTTTACTTGTACCAGCCCGTCTAGTGTACACAGCCTGTGGTTGCAGGATCCTAACCCGTATACAAGGATTGACTTGTCTAGTGTTTACTTGTACCAGCCCGTCTAGTGTACACAGTCTGTGGTTGCAGGATCCTAACCCGTATACAAGGATTGACTTGTCTAGTGTTTACTTGTACCAGCCCGTCTAGTGTACAAGGTCTGTGGTTGACCTACCACAGGCTGAACCTATGTGACATGCTACCCTCCTTAGATCCTTAAGCTACTATTCTCTGGGATCAGGTTATTGATGTCGGTCAGCAGAGACCAAGCCAGGTTCAGGAGAACTCTTCTGAATCTAACATTATTCGAACAGGAATATCATCAGTTTAAATATTTTCTCCCACCCTGCGCGCAAACTCCAAACTAAAGTCATCAATAAAACAATCAATTGGTAGTAGCGACTAGAGTTGGGCCCGTTTGGTTTTTTTATTTCGTTTGTTCATCGTTCATGAACGGCCCATTTTGTTCGTTTTTTTTCCAATTGTTCAAAAAATAATTGAATTCATTCTTTTTTAAAATTATTGATCATTTTACATCTCTTTTGTTCAATTCTTCACTGAACGATTGCTTAGTTCGTTTGTTTAATAAAATTGTTCTTTAAAAAAACAATTATTTTTTATGAAAATTTTTCGAAAAAATTGTTAGTAAAGTAAAAAAGCTATAGTAAAAAGTGTTTTCGAAAAAATTGCATGTTCAGTAAAAAAACTGAACAACACCCTTTTCACAAAAAATGTTGCTCGTTCAAAAAAGGATGCCCAATGCGCCCATCTACTTGCAACAGGGCATGGGCACAATCAATGTTTTAACCAATGTTTTATCTATGACTTTTACAAAACTGAGGGGTTTCCTTTAAACAAGATATTAAATTCATGCTTAATTTTAAAAGTGTATGCTGTATGCAACTAGGATTTCCAATTTTCTTTACTGCAACTGGAACAAATTAGACACATTAAAGCAATTTACATAATTTTTCCTAAATACAAAACCTTTAAAACTTTTTAAAATGAAGAGCAGAACAGTGCTTAACTGAACCTCTTTAGTGCTACGAGCTGTGTTATGATGCTAATAAAAGTGTGTGGATGATTATTCCGGATAAATTTTAAATCGTCCTGTAAAGGAATTGAGTCTTTGTCACAAACTATGATTTCCTAAACTCTATATCTTTGTAATCCAATGCTTTAGACCTTAGATATTTCAAACTATGAATTCTGTTAGATGAAAAAAATCTAAGTTTGAAATATCAAAGGTTTACACCATTAGGTTGAAAAAATGTATGTATCAGAAAATCAGAGTTTGTTACAAAGACTCCTTTGTTTCAGCATGTCATACCCAAGGATGTAATGCAAGGAAAGTTATTTCAGAAGTGTACACATCTTTTGTACTGCAGTGTACTGTCACTGGGCGGTAATGTAAGCACAAGACGGATTTCAAAGCCCGACATGGGATCCATCTTTCACATAAATGTTTAATGAAATATTCTGGTCATAGGAAACTATTATGTGAATTATCAAAATTATCAAAATTTAATGCTTTTAACCTCCTCGGATACTAAACGAACACTGATGCATCTATTTTTGTTTACAAATTCCGCCCAGAGAGAACTGGTTCAATATGTACACAGAGTATACACGACCGCAATTAACCTTCCTTGCATTACACCCTTGGTCATACCTAGCTCTGTTTCTCTGCTAAGGGGTGAATTTATTTGGAAATCACTAAACTTAAGAAATGTTGTTAATGGAGTATTATTAACAGCTTAATGAAAGATTTCTTATGTCCGAAATGAGTAGAAATGGATCCGAAAGAAATTGCAAATATGTAACCCCAAAGAACTTTTTCTTTATAACCTTATTTATTTACATCTGGATGATGTTAATCAGCTGTGTCTGTTGAACCGAAGGCAATGAATTTCAAGCTGAGTCCACCACCAAGCTACAAAGCTGTGGTTTATTCAGATAGCAGAGGTCAGATCTACAATTTACTCTATGTACACTCTAAACTATACACTCTACACTCCACACTCTGTACTCTACACTCTATACTGTACACTCCACATTCTACACTCTACACTCTGAATTCTACACTCTACACTCTACACTCTATGTACACTCTACACTCTACACTCTACACTCTATGTACACTCTACACTCTACACTCTACACTCAACACTCTACACCCTACACTCTACACTCAACACTCTATGTACACTCTACACTCTACATTCTACACTCTATGTACACTCTACACACTACACTCTACACTCTATGTACACTCTACACTCTATACTCTACACTCTACACTCTATACTCTACACTCCAAACTCTGTGCACACTCTACAGTCTACACTCTATGTACACTCTACACTCTACACTCTACACTCTACACTCTACACTCTACACTCTACACTCTACACTCTACACTCTACACTCTACACTCTACACTCTACACTCTACACTCTATGCACACTCAACACTCTACACTCTACGCTCTACGCTCTACACTCTACACTCTACACTCTATGTACACTCTACACTCTACACTCTACACTCAACACTGCATGTACACTCTACACTCTACACCTAATTTGCTCTGCAGAACCAAATTAATTTATAGCCAGGCATATTTGAACTATTTTGAATGAGTTGAATCCCCTTTTCTTCAGTTGACCCTAAACACATGAGAATTTGTTAAATTAAGTTCACACGGTTCAACTACTTCATTAAATCTGGTCTGTTTAGAACTAATAGAAGGAGGGGAAGACCGGGAAACCTGGGGTAAGAAAATAGAATTCCTCTTAGCAGTTGTAGGGTTTGCAGTTGACTTGGGGAATGTTTGGAGGTAAATAAATAGTCATCGGAAACTAACCCAAAATTATCAAAATGAAACTCTAAATATGATTTTATTTATTATTTGCCCTTTTTTCTTTAAATCTTGAATGAAAACTTTCGCACAAATGCTAAATTTCATCTGTAAAAAATTCGTATGGAGCCTAAAAATCCAGACTGTTTTTAAAATCCCAATCAATTCAGATGATCAAAACTATTTATCAGGTTCCCTTATATCTGCTATGCAAACGGTGGGGGAGCATTTTTGATTCCTTACTTTACAATGCTGGTCTTTGGGGGTCTTCCTCTCTTCTATATGGAGCTCTGTTTAGGGCAATTTCACAGGTATGGGCTAAAGAAGGATGATAACAATATTGTGAACGGAAATAATCTTTGATAATAATTCAGTTGGCAAAAAGTTCATATTTTACTTTGGAAATAAACATTTTGGTAAGTCCACATGCAAAAATTAACACTGCATAGAAAATAATTTTATTTTGGATGTATATTTGTTGTTGTTAAAATTTCAAACATGTAACGATTTCTTAAAAACAACTTTTCATTAAATTTTAAGTTAATATTGAGTTTAATTTGGATTTTGTCTGAATTTTTATTTAGATGTGGATGCTTGACCCTATGGAAGAGAATTTGCCCAATGCTCAAGGAATAACACCTTTAACTTGTTGTTAGATATGGCTAACATTTTGTAGACAGTGGATTATAAAGATTAGTTTTATTTATGGAGTAATCTGGGGACCAAATTTAATGAATTTGAACTGGGAACCAACGGTTCAAATTTGAATCACCAATCAAAATCCTCCTTATTCTTTAATTTGAATGGGTGGTTCAAATTTTAACCAGCCGTTGGTAGTTTAGCGCTGAGGCTCAACTTAATCAAAGTTGGTCCCCGGGTTTTTAAAAACAATTATACTAAGCTGTGACATTACATTGTGATTTTGCTGGGGACGTCAACAAGGAGATGAAGGCCAGCCACAACAATTTTTTGTCCAGGCCACATTCTCTTCATTTTCTCGTCCGAGCCACCTCAAAATCCTCGTCCTTTGCTTATTATATGTTTTTAAGTTTCTAATTCTTGTGGATAAAGCTATATTTTAAAATCAGGCCATGTTAGGGCATAAAATATGGATAGACTAAAGTATTGCAATGTTGGAATCTTCAAAGCCGTGAAAATGATGACAAACTTTAATTCGGCGAAACTTAAATCTCTTCTGCCTCCAAAACCTTCATGATACAAAATTAATAGCAAAATATTTGGCATACCTCTGCCTATAATTTTCCCCATGGAACCACCTAAAAAAATTCTGTGATTTTTGCTTTAATTAGCAAAACAAAAATTAATGTTCTATAAACTTGGAATTATTTGCAGCATTCTATACCCAGATTATCTAAAAATGCGCGTAAAAATGTGAATTATTTTCAGGATATTGCACTCAAAAACTTTAATTCTATTGAAAGTATTTTTTCTATTTACAAGAATTTATTATTTTGTTTATGCTCAAAGGTGACCCGATTCTTAACAAATTGTTTTATCTTGGAGAATTGAAAAATTAAAAAGATAATATTCGAAGGACGAGGATTTCAAGGTTTAGACGAGAAAACAAGGAGAATGTGGCTAGGACTAGAAATTGTTGTGGCTGGCCTTCCTCCCCTCCTTCAACTTGATCAGATTCTTATTTTTTACTAAAGAGTTGAATACTGCTGTAGCACAGCCAACCAGCAACCTTTAAACCAGGCCATTCTTATATGATAGTTCTGAAGGTGACTCTACAAATCTTATCAGAGATTGATATCGAAGTCTGAATGTCATCATGCCATTGACATAAAAGTAGCTGAAGTGTTTATACTAATTAACTGCAACCCTATAAACCTGTGATATTGTCAACTTATGAGGCTGAAGCTCTTTTGGTATAATTATCTATGTACTTACAATAGAATCTTTTACTATAATGGTACCTATCACAGAGTCGGGACTTATTGTTTGCTGGGTAGGATTTCATTAAAGCCACATGGCACATAGGCGCTACCAAAATTCAATACTTTGTGATAAGGATCATTAAGAACATTTAGCTAAATTCATAACATCTCACTGTAGCTAGTAAATGGTGTTGACTTAGGGGGTAGGGTATGCTATCTGTGTGATAGATATATACGTTGGTATGTTCTATAATACAATCATTGGTTGGGCTGTCTACTACCTTGCAGCTAGTATCTACTCTGCTGCCCAGGTATATATGTTTATTATGGTAAGGCCATCAGCTACCTTACCGCTAGTATCTACTCTGCTGCCCAGGTATATATGTATGTTAAGGTCAGGCCATCAACTACCTTGCGGATAGTATTTACTCTGCTGCCCAGGTATATATGTATGTTGAGGTCGGGCCATCAACTACCTTACGGATAGTATTTACTCTGTTGCCAGGTATATATGTATGTTAAGGTCAGGCCATCAACTACCTTACGGATAGTTTTTACTCTGTTACCAGGTATAAATGTGATTTTAGGTACTTTTCCAAAGGCTTTTCCCCAATTGTGTCAACATCCCAATGGTATTTTCCTAAGTGACAACTTACCACTACGTAATTTCCCAAGTGGCAACTTCCAAATCTATCCTGGCCGCAGCGCTCGACCCCTAGCTCATCCTAGCTGCAGCGCTTGGTCCCCATTGCTCCCTGTGGTCCCTCAGAAGCCCTAACCTAACATTTGGGAAGTTGAGGCTATGTTGGTTCAACAGGGATCTAAACGTCATTGTTAACGCTGCGTGCATCTATTGAAAATATTTAACAATCCCTTTTACTAGAATCTGGGAGGTGCGAACACTTCCCTGCCTTGGACATCCTGCGGAAACTCCTGGAACAACAACAACACCTGTGTGGATATACATATGACAAAGGAAAAACCTTGTTCCACAAAATGATTTTAAAAAATTAATAAATCAAATACCTCCCCCTTCATTTACCTTAGCTGGACACTCTTGTGTTAGATACAATTATTGAAGTAATCTTGGTTTCCAAAATTTGGCAAAAAAATAAAGAAATTTGTCCAAATATTAATTAATTCCACAAAATCGTAATTGTCCAATTACCATATTTCACTGTCAATTTTAAATACACAAGAAAGATAGACTACAATTTTGAAAACATATTAATACATTCCAGGCTTTTAATTAGCTATCGAAAATTGAAAATTTAATTCGTCTCTTCATTTCCAGGTTCATTGGGACACACTGTATTTTAACTGGATCAATATTACACTTTAGGGTCGGAAACTGAACATCTCGAGTCCCGCTGAGGAGTATTTTAAGTTAGTTTTTCATATTTTTATTATAAAAAGCCCCAACATACTTAAAAAAAACTATAAAATTTCAATCATTAATTTAAAACCCAATTTAAAAAAGGATTAAAAAGGTATATACTTAACAAAATGGCCTTTAGATTTTTTGGGGCAGTACTGTGTACTGTGTATACATTATGACTAACAATATATCATTATCAATTTCGAATACTAATCTTTGTATTTTGAAATATAAATCCATGATTACAACAAATAAAATATTTTTTTGTGACCACTAAAATGTTAAAATCTAAATATCAATATTTTTTGTGACCACTAAAATGATAAAATCTAAATATCAATATTTTTTGTGACCACTAAAATGATAAAATCTAAATATCAATATTTTTTTTCTTCAGAACAACCAACTAGCTTTAATGCAAAAATTGTGTGCACTATTGTTGACGACTAAATAAAACTTCATATTAAGAATTAAGAATTAATATATAATGAAAAAATCCGAAAGACAGGGGAAGGCGATTATATCAATACAATGAAGACGACTTTCGGTTTCAATTTTGATTTATATCAAGCTTTAAACAGCATGGATATTGGATATACATAAACATAGAAGACAAGAGAACTGTTGATCAAAAAAGCTTCTCTTTAATTACTTGTAAACTTCTAAAAAAGATTTTTATTATTTAAAATTTGAATGAAAAAGTCGTTTCCATTGTATTGATAAAATCGCCTTGTACTGGGGCACTTTACTTAACATTTTATATAAATATTTCTTCTTTAGTTATCCTTGTTGCATGAAATGAAAATGATATTCTGCAATTTAAACACAAATATTGTATGTTTGTATTTCTCATAGAGGAACCACAATTGAAAATAATCAGTTTTTAACATTATGAACATTGATATCTAGATTCATACCTGCAATCAGACAAAGCTGTTAAGGGTACCGTTGTAAGTCAGACATTGACATCTTTGCACGGAGGGTCCTGTTGAAATTATGCTTAACTCAATTTGGAATAGAAATGCAATTCATTTTATTTTTGCAGATATGGGGTGTTAGAAGTTCAGAAAGGAAACGGTTTAGCGGATTTGGGACAAATTAAACCAGAATTAGGTAGATTTCAAGAATTTAAAATATAATTGTCATTCATCCAGGGAGTAAGGAATAGAAGGGTTCGCCCTACAATATGATAATACATGCTTTGCAGACCTTACTTCATTTGTATAAGACATATTCAGAATAGGTTATTGTATACGCAGTAAATGTACATCAGACAAATATTTCTTATTCAGATGAAGTACCGTCTGCAAAGTATGTATAATTATATGGTAGGGCGAACCGCGTCAGTTATATCTCCCTTCTTTTCCTTACTCCCTGTTCATCAGCTATAGTTCTTTGTATCCTTAATAGATGTCACCTCAAATTAAAAGAAATTTCACGCTACAATAAAATCTTACAGTTTTCAACTAATTATTTCAATTTTTTGAAGAGTTATTAAGAAAAACTAAATGTTTCGAATTTAAATTATAATGAATGTGATTCGAAAATTGATGCTTCAGCGAATTATTTGAGTAATTTGCTCAGATTTAAAAATTGATGGAAAAATTATGTCAACTAGGAAGATTCTTTTAAAATCCTGTTCACAATAAGTAATTAGTTGCAATTAATAAACATTTATAGGAATTTGAGAGTAGTCGAAATAAAATAGAAATAATAATACAAATGTTAATTTAATAACAATAACAATAATTACAATAATGATGATAATGATTAAATAATAATGATAATAATCATAATTATGATCATGAAATTGGTCACGATCAATGATCATAACTTTAATAATAACCAACAAAAATAACAATAAAATAATGATTTTTTAGCGTTTTCTGTTTTGTTTGTTTTCGTTCTTGTTTACTTTGCTCTCTGGAAAGGTGTAAAATCTACCGGCAAGGTAGGACATATCATATTATATATGTATAAAAGAATATATACAGTTTTATTTAATTACTAGCTTGGGAACCCAGCTTTGCCTAAAATAAAAATCGACCCACTCAACTTCAAATGTTAAACCAAGCATTCATATTTTTTAGTTGATATTTGAGGCAAACCGCTCAAAAGTTATGATCGAACATGGACACAAACAGACAAACAGAGATTACTACTTTATTTACATAGATAACATCTGCATTGAGACCCCTAAAACTGTGGAATAAGAAGACGACTTGTTAGTCCCGAGTTCGTAAATAGTGCATTGAACATAAAACAAAGAAATTGTGCAGTTGACACAAACCCATTTCACTTAATATTTATATGGTAAACCTAATTGATTTATTACAACATCAAATACATATCTTATCATTTATAGATATTAATTTCAAGTTCCATAGTTTTATAAGTCCCACTGTATATTTCTAAATTTTATATGATAATTCCATTGATAGATAACAATACAGATAGAAAACTGGACGTCGTCTTCTCAAGATTTATGGGTTTTTCGTTCACATAACCCAGAGGCAAAAGCCCAAAGGAGTTATGCGCATGCTGCGTTGAATGACAAGACAGATAGAGAGTATGCGCGTAATTCATTTGGGCCTCTGCCTCAGGGTTATTGTGAACGAAAAATCCATAATTCTTGTTATTAATCTACGGAAATTCTCTCTAAATGCTCTCAAAATAATGGGACTGATTTGTTACACAACAATCTAAATACTTTTAGAGAACAATTATTATATTTTCATAAAACAATTGTTAAATCATTGTTCTGGGTTGAGAATAATTGAATCATTCATTTTAATATTATGATTTAATAAGATTAATTCTAAAAACTTATGTTTTACGCCAAAAGTTCTGTTGTGGGCATATGATACAGATTTTTTTAGCTATGTTTACACTTTATTAAGTTGAAGTTTTATGACACATGCGAAACTAGCGATATGTTTAAGCTGTCCGAAAGTGAGAATTTTTAAAATCTGAATTCAGGGATCAAGCATTGATCTCAATCTTATTAAGCCTTCGCATTTTATTTAAATCCTCTTCGATTAGTTCAAATGAGGGATTATCATTAATCCTCAAATTTAAAAGTGTCCATATACGATATCGAGATCAAGAGTTCAAGATTAACGATTAAAGTTCCGATCTTAAACAAACACAAAGGATGAGACTACAAAGACGACCTAGAACTATGAAAAATTCCAAGATTAAATAAAAAAACGTATTTGCTCTGAATTTAGTCCTCGTTGGCTTATTTCATGATTTGTCAAGAAAAAGAAACAAGTTTACCGTTTAAACTAATTATAAATACAAGGAAATAGACAGTATAAATTCTATGTAGTCGTCTCTGACATCTGATGTTTGTGGGTAACCTTGTAGAATGATAAGTCAAAGAAAAAAACACTCTTACTTAAATATGCAAAATGTCCAGCTACAAACAAATAAATTAATAAGAAAATATGATTCGATAGAACAGGTTTGAAATTTTAAGTTGATTGATTCTTAAACCAAGGATTCTGAAACACCGTGACCCGAGGCCGAATTTGAGCCGCGGCTTAAATTTAAGCTGGGGCTCACATATGGTTGGTTCCACTTAAAGTTGTATTAAATATTTCAAGATTTAGGCCGGCGCTCCTTTGAAACCGGTTTTTAGGGGATTTGAGACGCGCCTTAAATTCATTAAATTCGGACTACGGACTTAATTTTCGTGCCTCCTTATCTATATAATAAAGGTATTCGCACAAATATGTTCGCAATTATAGCTGTCCATACAGCTGGACCAAATTGGCAGAATTTTTTTGAGAAAACCGAGGGGTGACAGAGGCAAACATATTTTTTTTTCAATTCCAATGTCAACGCTACTGCCACTTTAGCTACAATCATAATTTAATACCAAGCGCGGGTAAACGGCGGAAGTAATTATGACATAATATAAACCCATGGGCAACGCCGAAAACTCCAGCCAGTAAAATATATTTCTTAATATTTACAAGCAATAATTGTAAACAATTCCTTTAAGGTGGTCTGGATAACTGCGATAGCTCCATACATAATACTTGCCTGTCTTCTTGTAAGAGGTTAGTTCTTCGTCGAAATACACCAATTTTAAGTTCACCATTTTTTCGTCCGGCATTGTTAAAATTTTCTTTAAAATACTTTAAATTATTATATTCAAAATTTTAGCCACGTCATGTTGTTTAAAATGATTTAAAATATGTTATCCTTTTTTTTAAAAAAAAAGAACATCTTATGAAGGATCAGTAAACATAAAACAACTTACGGACATATTTATTTCATAATCCCTTAAGCAAATCCTAACCTGTTGCTATGTTCCCTACTAGAAAATGTTAATCTTTAGTTAAAGATTCTAAAACTCCCAATAGAAAACCCACTGGAAACCATAGATTTCAATATCCAGGGGACGGGGCTTTCCCCCCCCCCATGGGACCTCTTCTGTGACCATCTCTTTTTCTTTTGGTATATAATGTTTTGTTGGTTTAGTTTATTATTAATTATAAGTTTATAAATATAGTTATCTTTAGCTCTATTTATAAAAAAACAGGTTAATCAAATATATATTTGGATTTAGTACGTACGAAAAAAAAGTTTATCAATTTTAATTGGATCTTTTTTACAGATGTTATCTCGTTTTTTTTCCTATTTTTAATATATATCTAGTTTAATCTTAATTTACAAAATGTACTTTTAATGAGACCTCTATATTAGTTGAAATCAGAAAATGCACAAACCTAAACTCATTTATAAAAAGATGTCGGAAGAATTTAAATAATGCTGCCTCGAATTAGAATTTGCAGCTGTCAGTTGTATTTTCCCAAGCTGTCAAAGTTTTACAGGGATATATGTATGATTAATTCTAAAGCATTTCTGAGTTGAAAATCAAAGTTTTTATTGGGAATGAAACTATTCTAAATTTGTTTATGTGAAGATAAATAAATATCCTTGAATTACATGGAACATGTTATCAAACAGCTTTGTTAATAGTTGGACGCTATTTTACGTATAAAATCCTGTGTCTTCTTATATTGGAGTTTAACTGTGTAAAAAAGTAATCTAAATCATTATTAGGTGTTACTTTGGATGGAGCTATGACAGGGATAGAGTATTATCTGACTCCACAGTGGGAAAGACTCTATGAGAGAAAGGTAAGAAAAACAAATTACTTTTTAAAATATTTTTTTGTCCAATAAAATATGCATAGTAGTGTCGACCCAATAGAGTTCTATGAGATAATAACTATTCATGATCCCACCGGAGCTACTAGCCCATGCACCAATAGTTCCAATACTAATCAGCAAAAAAGTTTTATTTTAATCATATTTAACTCAGAGAAAAAACACTAAGTGTGTAATTTTACGAGGAGGAATACAATACAAAAATCAGAGCTGAAAAGACTTGATATAAATGACAATTTTTGCGCGCATTTAGACATTTCAATATTAAAAGTTCATTAATTAGGATACTATTGTTAAAGCTTTAAAACATGGATATTTAAATAAAATGTCACATCACATGCCAAATTTTAATAGTTCTCCGATCTACTTGTGAATCTCGGGATCAAACGACGACGAAAAAAAAAAACAAAAAAAAACGAAATGATCGTTTTCATAAAGCACGTCGTTTGGGTAATGATAGTTAACGACGAGAAGAGGAGAGAGGAAGAGAGGAAACCGAAGAGCATCAATACTTATCATTTAGTAGTTTTAAAGAAAATATCAAGAAGTTTTAGCTTCCCCACAACCTTTTACCTGCATGTAAGACGACACTCGATAAAGTTGCATATTTATCCATGAACATTTTTTTCAAAAACGATCGTTGTTTTTAAAACGGTGTTAACAGAAGATATTTTAGAAATCGTTAGTGGTGCCAGCCGTTAACGAGCCATTAACGGTTATTTCATGTAACCATAGCTGGAACAAAGACAAATTCATAAACATCAAAACACGTAAAAAAAAACCATCGAAATACAAAAAATTATTTTTCTTTTCAGTTTTCTGTAAGTTTTAATTTAAAAAAAAAAAAAGTCTTCTTTATTGTGGAACATATTCGTTTCATGTTATCTATATAATAAAACAAGACATTCGTATATATCTATATATAAATTTGGCTTGTCTGTTTTTATGTTTGTCTGTTTGTTTGTTTGTTTGTTTGTATCCAATAAACGTCAAAACGGCTAAACCGATCGGGCCCAAATTTTTTGTGGGACATCTAGGGACTCCAGGGAAGGTTTATGAAAGATTGAAATTTTAAATATTTGTCTCCATCAAAATTTGATCGTCATTAAATTTTTAAAAATTTTGAAAATCCGCGAAATTTTTTGTGAAAATCCGCGAATTATTTTTGTTTTGTTTTCGAATTATTTTTGTTTTGTTTTACGATGTACACAAAGAGAACATGTTCACAACTAATTTAGAAGATGGGCGCGAAGCGCCCTCTTAGGCTAGAAAGAAGAGCGCGAAGCGCCTTGAATTTCTAGTATATATATATTTTGTTGTCTATAGCCGGCCAAACAGCTGAACCGATTGGGCCGATTTTTTTGTGGAAACTCGTGGGTGGACGGGGGTGTTATAGGATAAAAAAATTCGATCATTTTTTTCAACTTTTTTTCAAAATTTTATTTTCAAATTTTTTTTCTACGGGCAACGCCGGGACCTTCAAATACGTTTTTATTAAACCCTTATATACTTTCCGTTCTTCAACTATTTCAAAACTAAAGGATTTTGTCCTTGCCGTTCGGTAAAGAAACGTTGCCCATCCCTAATCACAACCCCTTTGAATCCCAATGTCTATAAACTACCCTCATTGGTAATTGTATTTTCTAAGTACTTTAAGGTATTTATGTACTGGAGATATATTGTGTTTTCTAACTGCCAATAATGACCCTATGTAGTAGACCAGAAATAATAGATAACAAAGTAAAGTGTATTTATATTAAATTACGGTATATTTATTTACTACAGATAGTTAGATATATTATTAGATACTTAGCTAGATTGGTAGATAGTTAGATAGATTAATAGATAGTTAGATTGATTAATAGATAGTTAGATAGATTAATAGATAGTTAGATATATTAATAGATAGTTTGATAGATTAATGTATAGTTAGATAGATTAATAGACAGTCAGATAGATTTATAGATAGAAAGATGGATTGATTGATAGATAGATACACATAAACTTAAATAACTCGACGGTAGCCCTTATTTGTACGTGGTCTCGGCTTTTCATATCAAATAACTGCATTATATCCATTGCAAGTTAAGTTGTTCTTTTTAGTATACTTCATAAACTCTAGCAAGATGATTTTAAAAATTACAACTTTACCATATTGATTAAATTTCTAAAACACAAATATCTCCTCCTTTCAGAAACAGCGAACACTCCCTTTAATCCATCCTTATCGTACAGAGAACACTCCCTTTAATCCATCCTTATCGTTCTTATTTAGAACCTGTTGCGGTATAATTTCCCCATTACTGGTGGAATCAAATTATTAGAGGAGGGATTCTAGGGAGAGGGGGGGAGGGTGAATTCCCTTGGGTTGGATTTAGTATTCTCCAGTAAAGGATTTATCTCTGGTTCTTTGAGAAGATATGCTCCAGGCTTCCTATTTATACAGTATAAACTACTGATTATATACCCCCCAGGAGCTAGGAATAAACCGACCTACAGAGGAATCCGACCAACAAGGGAATCCGATGTTTTTTCCACCGACCTTTCACAGAGGAATATGGCACTGTTGGGAATCGAAGATGCGACTCTAAACATGACGGTTCATATGCAGACTGAATCTGTGTGGGTTAATATGCAGACTGAATCTGTGTGGGTTCATATGCAGGCTGAATCTGTGTGGGTTCATATGCAGGCTGAATCTGTGTGGGTTTATATGAAATTAAAACGACTGCAGTCTCTTTCAAAGAGAATCTAATTCTGAACAAAATGTATCATAAAAGTTTTTTGAGTTTTTGAGATGTCGATCTTAATTTCGAAAGAATTTCTTATTCTTTTGAACTTCGAATTCATCATTATCTTCTACATTATTGGTACAACTTTGCACCCTCGTAGGAAGGAAGTAATTGTTTACTTTAATTTGAGCCCCTGTATGTCCATTGTCTGTAGATATATTGCTGAGGTATACTGCTAACAATTCAACAAAGTGAAATACATCAACATAAATGGGTTTTCTATTGAAAACAAATCATTTTGCAGTATCGATAGTACACTGTTAGAAATTAAAGATTTTGTAGTATTTATAGTACACTGTTAGAAATTACAGATTTTGTAGTATTGATAGTACACTGTTAGAAATTACAAATTTTGTAATATTGATAGTACACTGTTAGAAATTACAAATTTTGTAGTATCAATAGTACACTGTTAGAAATTACAGATTTTTTAGTATCGATAGTACACTGTTAGAAATTACAGATTTTCAATCAAATCAATCCTTTAATGTATTCAGTAATATTTTCTTGTATATATACTGTACAATGAATGTACAATGTGTTATTAAAGGGACTGTAAGCGAAATTTCAAGTGATCTTACATTCATGAGATGACAATGTCTGATTCACAACTGTACCCTTGAAACATTTTTCTGGTCAATAATGTGGACGATATTGTCGTTTCTCGAGGTTTGAAAGTGGTCAATTCTAATAACTCCAATATGTTTTACCCCTTTAAACTTTTATTAAAAACCACGCAGTAACCTTTTTACACCCAATTATTTACATATTATATGATTAAAACTAATTTGTCTATAAAAAAAGGTTACAATTAATCGTTATATTTAAACATTTTTTATTAACAATGACGCACTATATGATCGCGTAAGGATATTTTACTGTCGCGTTTCATGAATAAACGTACAATAAATTCTTTAGCAATTAAAGAGTTACGTTTATAACGTTGATTGAGCAGTAATAAATATGAGCTTTTAAAGTGTGTTTATTGTTTAATTCTGAGAATTTCATTTTTTTTCTTTGCCGCATGAATGGCCTACAGGCAATTTTACGGAAAAATCAAAATTGTATATCATAATTTTTTTGAAAATTTTTGATATCTTTGTTTATTTTGCTGAGACAAGATCTAGAGATGATTTTATTGTTAATCAGCTGTTAGAACTATTAATCAGTTTATCCAAGTTTAGATTTTTGTCTGATAATAAGCTTTCACGATTTTTCAGTTGATTTTATCGTTAATCAGTTGTCAGAATTATCAATCAGCTCAATCCAAGTTTATCGTTAATTAGTTGTTAGAATTATCAATCAGCTCAATCCAAGTTTATCGTTAATCAGTTGTTAGAATTATCAATCAGCTCAATCCAAGTTTATCGTTAATTAGTTGTTAGAATTATCAATCAGCTCAATCTAAGTTTAGATTTTTGTCTGATACTAAGCTTTCACGATTGTTCAGTTGATTTATCATTAATCAGTTGTTTGAATCATCAATCAGCTCAATCTAAGTTTAGATTTTTGTCTGATAATAAGCTAATAAGTTAATAAGCTAATAAGTTGTCTGCTAAAATGTTCAGTCAATTTTTTTGTTAATCAGCTGTTTTAAATGTTAAGGTTTGGATAGCTGCTGCAACCCAGATATTCTTCTCCCTGGGACCAGGGTTCGGTACTCTCCTAGCTCTCTCCAGCTACAACAAGTTCAACAACAACTGTTACAAGGTCAGCATCAACATCAGAATCAAAATTAAGATCAGCTTCTTGTTTTATTTCGTTTTCAAGTTAGTTTTTTGTTCGTTGTTAAGTTCGTTGTTTAGTTCGTTAGTCATTTCGTTTTTTAACATCGTGTTTTAGTTCAATTTTGAACCGTTTCTCGATTCGTTTTCGCATTCATTATTGTATTTTTTAATTTTGTTTTCATAATTAAATCATCATTTCCGGAAAAATTCAAATATAAGTGATTTACTTAGTGACCTTTAGCTTTTTCTAATTTTGATTTTAAATTTTAATCCAAATTCACATTTTTTTCACGTCTTAAGTTGCTTTTTGTTCAGGACGCTTTAATAACCAGTTCTATAAACTGTTTTACCAGTTTTATTTCTGGATTCGTCATCTTCAGTGTTCTAGGATACATGTCCAAGATGCAGGTAGACATTCTTAAAAATGTCATATATAATATTGGACATTTAGACATTTTATACATGGGACATCTAGACATTTTATTGATAGGACATTTAAACATTTTATTGATAGGATTTTTAGTCATTTTAATGATAGGACATTTTATTGATAGACATTTAGACATTTTATTGACATTTGGACATTTCATTCATAGGACATTTAGACATTTCATTCATAGGACATTTAGACATTTTATTAAAAGGACATTTGGATATTTTATATAAAGAGGACATTTCATACATAGAACATTTCATACATAGAACATTTCATAGATAGAACATTTCATAGATAGAACATTTTATAGATGGGACATTTCACTGACATTTCGAAGTACATTTCATAGATGAGACATTCAATGGAATAGATTCTTCATTGATACCCTGTAAACAGAACTCGTATGAAAAACTAGTTTAGAACCAATTAATAAAATGTCAACTTTAAATCTCATCAAAAAAAAGGTTAAAAATATTGAGAATGAGAATTTGAACGACTAAATTAGAGAAAAAACCGATTAAAAATTTTTTTTGAGAAAAATTTGAATTTTATTTGCATGTAAAATGTATATGCAGGGATTACCGATAGAAAAGGTTGGTATGGAAGGGGAGGGTCTTGTATTTGTCGTGTACTCTGATGCAATCGCTTCAATGCCAGGTAAAAATGCCGTGTCCGGCCAACTTTATCATTCCGTCCCGGGTCAACTTTATAAAAACATTTACCTTACCTTTGTGTAAATCAGCTTTGGGCCACATTAGTTTAAAATTTGCATGATCTGAACCAATACAACAGTGCTAGTCTAGTTTTTACCTTATACCAGCCAGCCCGTCTAGTGTACCCTGTATGTGTACACGTCATGATGGTTGACCCAGCCCGTCTAGTGTACCTAGTATGTGGTTGATCCAGCCTGTATAGTGTACACGTCATATGGTTGACCCAGCCCGTCTAGTGTACCCAGTATTTGGTTGACCCAGCCCGTCTAGTGTACCCAGTATTTGGTTGACACAGCCCGTCTATTGTACCCAATATGTAGTTGACCCAGCCTGTCTATAGTGTACCCAGTATGTGGTTGACCCAGCCCGTCTAGTGTACCCAGTATGTTGTTGACACAGCCCATCTAGTGTACCCAGTATGTGGTTGACCCAGGCCGTCTAGTGACCCAGTATGTGGTTGACCCAGCCCATCTAGTGTACCCAGTATGTTGTTGACACAGCCCATCTAGTGTACCCAGTATGTGGTTGACTCAGCCCGTCTAGTGTACCCAGTATGTGGTTGACACAGCCCATCTAGTGTACCCAGTATGTGGTTGACTCAGCCCGTCTAGTGTGTATGTGGTTGACTCAGCCCGTCTAGTGTACCCAGTATGTGGTTGACACAGCCCGTCTAGTGTACCCAGTATGTGGTTGACTCAGCCCGTCTAGTCTATCCAGAATGTGGTTGACCCAGCACGTCTAGTGAACCCAGTATGTGGAATTGACTCATGACTTGTTTTATGCAACAGAATGAAGCTGACTGAACATAGTTGAGAATTTTACGAGCGCAACACGTTTGAATTAGTATTTTTTATAACGTATCCATTTAATTTAGTTCTCTCTGTTCTAATGAATTAGCTAAATAGACATTATAATAATTGGCACTGAAAATTTAAAGTACAATTTTTTTGCAGGATCATTTTTTTGGGCTATCCTCTTCTTCTTTATGCTTATTACTCTTGGTTTGGATAGGTATAGTTTTGTCAATAACATCAATTCAAAGGTAATGAAAGAGGTAAAAATATTGATCCAAAAACTTCACTATTAAGTTTCCAAAAATCAATTAAGAAGATTTGGAAAATTTTCCAAAAAAGCAAAAAGTAAGATTCTTTTCTATTTACAGTCACAAAAATATTGTGATTTAAAAGAAATTTGCTTGTAAATAAGATTACAAAATTAGCTTTTTTAAAAATTTTCCGTGACCGGCAATGTATGGTAGTTGAACTGAAAATGTAGTATCGTGGAGAAATTTTTTAGGATTCATTTAAGACATATAAAACGTTTTAAATATATATAATTACTAATTTAAGCGCAAAGTCGACTTTTAAAATCATCCATTTGGGTGGTTAAGTATTGAGAATAGATATTTTTTGAAATGATTAAGTAACGACGACAAAATGTAACACAAATTCTACAGTAAACTAATTAGTTGTTTAGAAACAGCCTAATAAGATAAAAAGGTAACTCTTATTATTGAAAATAGGTAATCTTCTTCAGTTATTAGTTTCTGCAATCTCTCATTGTTCACAAATATTTTCTGTAGATTTTCTGGAATTATGATTGAAAAGACGACATTTGAAGAATTTGTAGAAATCTGCAAACAAATTCGTTAAATGTAGAATTTTTAATACTTTTTTTGCCGTCGTTATTTAATAACTTAAAAAATAACGATTTTCAAAACGTAACAATCAAAAGGGATGATTTTGAACGTTGACTTTGCGCGTAAACTCAGCAATTATGCATCACTAAAAGGTTTAATATGTCTTAAATGAATCCTAAAAAATTTCTCCACAATACTGCATTCTCAGTTCAACTAACATACATTGCCAGACACTCCCTTTAAAGCTCTTTCATTTTTCCTACTAATTTTCAACAATGAATAGATGTTTATAATCTTTTCAAAAAAGTTAATTTATTTTTTTAGTACTTTTGGAGGCTTAGAAGCTATGATTACAGGGCTATGTGATGAGTACCCAAAACTTCTCGGAAGGCAAGATTTTTTACAAAAAAAGAAAGAAAAAAAAATATATAATGTTATAAGTGAATTATAGATCCAAAAGCAATTCTATTTAAATATTTAAATTTAATCTCTATGTATATATACAGAGTTACCTGCAATAGAAGGAGACAACAAAGATGAACTAATAAAAAGAAATCTGAAATTTTTAATAAATTCTTTTAAAGGAATACTAACAAATTTGACGACGAACAACTGTAGTTGCAGTGAACCACTAAAATAGGAAAAGATGGAAATTATTCTGTAAAGTCGTCTTTAAAGTCGCATCCTTTGTGGATAACCCTGTATGTAGTTCTTTTAAAAAATTAAGAGCTAGAGTGTATAATTTGTTTCTTTAAGAAAAAAAAATATTAAAAACGATATTTTTAGACGGAGAGAATTATTTGTTGGATTTCTACTCCTTGGAATATATTTGTGTGCCTTACCAACCTGTACATATGTAAGTGTACATACAATTGTAAACCACATGTACATATATTTGTGTGCCTTACCAACCTGTACAACAAAGTTGGTTAATGAGTGATTTTTAGATGGATAGTATAATTACATTAATAAATATTTAGGGAGGTAAAGATCTTGTCTCGATACTGAATTCCTCTGGATCCTCCATACCTTTACTTCTTGTAGTATTTGTAGAAGCAGTTGGAGTATTCTGGTTTTATGGAGTTGCAAGGTCAGTTTTATGGAGTTATGAAGGGAGTCTTCTTGTTGTATGGAGCTGCTAGATGAGTTAAATTAAGTAACTCAGTAACCTTTTTTATGGAGTTGCTAGTTGCTGAGTTCAAAATAACCCAATAGAAATTACTTGACCCTGGAGTCTGCTTGCCTCTGTTATCTGTTTTCCCAGCAAACCAAAGAATGTAAGATGACCAATCAAACTAATGAGGTCTCTGCTACTCTTAATGAGCAAACGCCAATGCATGTGGATTTTACTTGTCCAAAATTGCTGGCCTTTGCATGCAAGTGAATTTAATTGCGCGCAATTCCATTCTTGCTTGCAATTCTGTTTAACTTCCTTTGGTTTGTAAATTCCAATTGTAAACACTAGTCAGAATCCATAAATAACTGTTGATATAAAAGTTGCGATGAAATTTTCAGTTGGCCCAATGATTGGACTTACTGAAGGAGTCACTCTTATGAGGGTGTTACTAATCGAAGGCAGATTTATTGAGGACACACAAAAAATGTCACCTATAATTAGATACTCTTACACAATTTAGCTTTATTTGAAAAGATGTTAAAACCTTTTTTATCTAGATTTTGTGATGATGTAGAACTGATGATTGGACAAAGGCCAGGTATTTCAGAGTAAAGAAATTATTATACCGAAAACCACAAAATTATATTTGTTTTGTGTGACTGATTTTTTAATTTTTAGGACTTTTCTGGAGAATTTGCTGGACCTACATCAGTCCTGTTTTCATATTTGTAAGTGTAATCTCTACAAAAAGTCTAAATAAACAGGATCAAGTTTAGAGTTTGATGCATCTTTAACCCTTTTTTTCCTAAAATTCTTGTTTTTTTATCAATTCATTGTTTTAGGTAATCCTACTATTCAGTATTTACGATTTTGCCCTTCCGATAGATCTGGTTGCAGAACCAGTTCCTAGGTAGGTATACATTAATTGATCTGGTTGCAGAATACATTAATTATACATCAATTTTTACTTTTGCCATTAAAAACAAGCAGTGATTGCCAAATTTGAGGCTCCTAGGCCTAACAACTGTGACCACAATTGATATTTAGCATTAAAAAATTCCAAAAAAGTCATTAGGAAAAAGAAATTCTAAAAACATCTCGAATTTGGTATCAAAAGATGCACATTGGGTGAATGGTGTCCATTTGCTTTTTTTTTTGCTATTCTCAAAATTGTTTGATATTTGTTTTGCCTCTAATTAGTTAAAAAAATAACAGATTTTTTCCGATTTCAAAATTTCTGAATTAAGTGTTTCTATGCAGATCTTTTCTTTTCTAAATTTTGTTTTAATATATGAAACTTATCCTGTGCTAATAGAGATATTAGAGGTTTTTGTGAAGAGGGGTATAGCATGGATAGAAAACAGGCTGGTGCCCGTGCTCGTGCTAAATGGTTATGATTAAGGTCTAAACCTGCTCTAAGGCAAGATAATACAAGTTTAAGAATACAGGTATCATACTGGAACTGTAATGGAATTCTTATTTTGTGTAAACAGGAAGAGATAGTAGAGGCAATGAACTCAGAGGAGTTGGACCTGGTGTTCATAGACAAAATTCACCTATGAAAGGGTGGTAATGCTGACATGTTGGTAATGCACCATGGTCACCAATCTTCAAAGAGCGAAATTTTAACATGAAGGGCGGTATTGGAAAATTGATTCTTAGGTCGGATGAGCGGGGGAAGGCAGACGGTCATGAGCCACCACTATTTCCCCTTCCGTGCCACATATTAGCTTTTTTTCTTCCGGCAGCCATGAAAAAAAAATCCAGCCGCGTCACGCAAAAAAAGCACAACTCAACCCATTTTTTCAACTCTACTTAAGATTAATATTTTGTGTGTTGAATTCTTAAACTGTTTTACAATGAAATTTTTGACAAATTTGACTGAGTATTGCATCTTGAAATATCACAAAGTTGGTTAATGAGTGATTTTTAGATGGATTTAGTATAATGAGTCAGTAATTGAATAATCATTAGACTATGATATTTTAATACCAAAATCCGAAAGATGAAAAATAATAAAAAGTTAAACACTATGAATAAGGTTAAAATAATCATCTTTAATGAAAAATATTGTCTCTAATAATATTATGATCAAAATTTATTCTTTTACACATTTTCATTTTCGCGAACACTCTCTTTCATTTTTTTTAGTTGGATTTCCGGCCTAGGATGGTGCCTGACAATGTCGTCTGTGTGGTTTATCCCGGCATACATTATTTACAAGTTCTATAACGTGACAGGAACCACAAGGTAATTTATAGTACAGGGTGTCCCAGATATTATATTAAATTATAGATATATACAGTACAGGGTGTCCCAGATATCATATTAAATTATAGATATATATAGTACAGGGTGTCCCAGATATTATATTAAATTATAGATGTATACAGTACAGGGTGTCCCAGATATTATACAGTACAGTTTGTCCCAGATATTATATTAAATTATAGATATATACAGTACAGGGTGTCCCAGATATCATATTAAATTATAGATATATATAGTTCAGGGTGTCCCAGATATTATATTAAACTATAGATATATACAGTACAGGGTGTCCCAGATATTATATTAAATTATAGATGTATACAGTACAGGGTGTCCCAGATATTATACTAAATTATAGATATATACAGTACAGTTTGTCCCAGATATTATATTAAATTATAGATATATACAGTACAGTTTGTCCCAGATATTTTATTAAATTAGATATATACAGTACAGGGTGTCCCAGATATTATACTAAATTATAGATTTATACAGTACAGTTTGTCCCAGATATTATATTAAATTATAGATATATACAGTACAGTTTGTCCCAGATATTTTATTAAACTATAGATATATACAGTAAAGGGTGTCCCAGAAATTATATTAAATTATAGATATATACAGTACAGTTTGTCCCATATATTTTATTAAATTATAGATATATACAGTACAGTTTGTCCCAGATATTATATTAAATTATAGATATATACAGTACAGTTTGTCCCAGATATTTTATTAAATTATAGATATATACAGTACAGTTTGTCCCAGATATTATATTAAATTATAGATAAATACAGTACAGTTTGTCCCAGATATTTTATTAAACTATAGATATATACAGTACAGGGTGTCCCAGATATCATATTAAATTATAGATATATACAGTACAGGGTGTCCCAGATATTATTTTAAAGACAGGGTTACCGTCAAAGAATGACCTTCAATGAAGACCTAAAATTTGTTGAATATTACCCTGTACCTTTTCAAAATATAAAGTTTAAAATGTAAAGATGTCAATGCCCGCAACACAACATCATCCTTAAAAACTTTGTTTGGTCAAGTAGAATTAGATATTATTATTTATTAATTTTGAAAACTAATTTGTTTCAATTGTGGGTTTTTTACAAACTAACTTGCGGATTTCTACTGCAGTAAAACACATAGGATATATCAAAATAAACACTTTTATAAATGAAAAGCGGGAATATCTTCCACAGTATTGACCAGATAACGGTTTTAATTGTACCGTTGTAAATCAGGCATTGCCATCTTTGCATGGAAAAATCTCTTCAAAAAAATAAGTTTTTTTTCTATTTTTCCCTAAAATAAAATTTAATTTTGCAGAGAGCGAATTCAGAAGATGATAACACCTGAGGAGTTTATGCCAAGGTAAAAATTAGATTTTGAAATAAAACAGACGTTATATAAACATTTTAGTTAAGGGGTGTGGGCACAAGCTCACGCATAGAAATAAAAATATATCAATAAATCTGTTTTCAGTTTATTGTCAAGGTCTTTCTATTTTGATTTGCTCAAGATCCATTAACAGTCATGTACCTCAACGTTTTGTGCTGCGCCGTTATCTTAAAAACGTGACCATGAGTAACCCTGAAACCATAGTGAACACTTATTAATTTGTTAATAACTTGTAATTAACCTTTTTTCCATGGTAAAAATACCAAATTAATGCGTTGATGCTTGAAATTAAACATCATTCTCAAAATGGTCTTTATCAGTTAAATAGATTTCATTGGTCAGATCCATAATTTTTTACCACTAAGAAATCGGTTTGTCTCTCTGTCCATAGTATTTTTACCACTAAGAAATCGGTTTGTCTCTCTGTCCATAATAGTTTTACTAAGAAATTGGTTTGTCTCTCTGTCCATAATATTTTTACCGCTAAGAAATCGGTTTGTCTCTCTGTCCATAATAGTTTTACTAAGATATCGGTTTGTCTCTCTGGAAAGCAATAATTAGTTTAACACATTAGTTTTAAAATCCATGTCACGTTTTCCAAATTGTTGATCAATTTGAAACCTTTCCTTGATGTTGTTAAAAAATGACAATCCAATAAAAGCTATTGGAAATTAAGATCGGATCCTTTCTTTATCGAGCTAAGAAAAAAAAGCGTTCCATATCATTAGATTATTTCCACGCTTTAACGTCAAAATACAACAATAATACTCGAAAAAAACTAGTTTTTTCAGCAAGAAAATTCTTATGTTAGCCAAATTCAATTTTTCAAAACGATTCATTCTTCTTAAATTTTCTAATTAGTCCCGAAAATCGAACTTTAGACCGATCGAAGATCTAACATGATGTGGGACACCCTGTAGATTCTACGCAGAGTGTGGCTTGCTGAAATAAGTTTACGGAACGATTATTCCGAACTAATTTCTTATGGAATTTTCGTTCCGTAAACTTTTTACCCGCATGTCATACCTAGCTAGCTCTATTTGGCATCTAATGGGCAGATTTATTTAAAAATCGGTTAAGAAAGCCTACGCCCTTAATTCCCAAATTTTTTTAATGATTTATCATCCTTAACAGGAAAGGTTCCGGAAGGCCTTTACGGAACCAAATTGAACCGGAAAAAATGAAAACGCTAGTTCCGGTTTCGATTTGTCAAATTTGTTACAGTGAGTTCCATACATAGAACTGTGTAAAACAAAGACGACTTGTAGTCCCACGAACATAAAACATAGAAATTATGCAGTGTACTTTGTACACAGACCCATTTTACTAAATATGTTGATTTTAAGCTTGTTTGCGCTATAACAACATCAAATACGCAAACTATTGTTTCAATGTCGTCTTTTATTCCAGTTTTATTGGTCACATTGTATATTTATAAATCGTGCTTAAAGGTCGTCTTCTAAAATTGTAAAACCTGTGGACACTCATCTTAGCATAAAGAATACTCTCAGCTTTAATTCAGGAGCTCTTGCCACAGATCTTTAGGTTAGTTTAGGTTAATTCACATTATTTTGGAGACCACTGTAAAACTCTTTATTTTTTGATACATTTACCCGCAATTTTTTAGTTTTTACTCGTTATTAGTGCAACAAAATAATTCGTTTTTACATAGACATAAACATAATACTTTGAAATAAGGAACATAATATAAAGTTTAAACCAAACTTATACGATCATACTAATACGTTTTCTATTTTTTTTTGTATATTAATGTCCAATATGATAATAAATGTTGTCAAATCTAAAATATTTTTTCAGAGCTTTACCGAGAATCATGGAATCAAACTCCGAGAATAAAAAATGGAAATAGACATATTCAAAAAAATATAAATTTTTGATTGAAAATGCGCATATCAATTAGTTTTAAGGGTACCTATTATATTCTATTCTAAGTGGGTTAAATGAGATCATATCATCAACTGAGCAGCACTTGATTATGCTTTCAATAATGTTAAGGGAATTAGATTTAACAGTTTTAAGGAATATATATTATTGTTGTTATTTATAAGAGAACCTATACAATGCTTAAGGAATAAATATGTTCAAATAATTATTGGAATGAGAGATAGAGATTTATAGATTTATAGATGTGCCAACTCAACATAGATAGAGATTTATAGATTTATAGATGTGCCAACTCAACATAGATAGAGATTTATAGATGTGCCAACTCAACAAGATAGAGATTTTTAGATTTATAGATGTGCCAACTCAACAAGATAGAGATTTATAGATGTGCCAACTCAACAAGATAGAGATTTATAGATGTGCCAACTCAACATAGATAGAGATTTATAGATGTGCCAACTCAACAAGATAGAGATTTATAGATGTGCCAACTCAACATAGATAGAGATTTATAGATTTATAGATGTGCCAACTCAACATAGATAGAGATTTATAGATTTATAGATGTGCCAACTCAACATAGATAGAGATTTATAGATGTGCCAACTCAACAAGATAGAGATTTATAGATGTGCCAACTCAACAAGATAGAGATTTATAGATGTGCCAACTCAACATCCCAAATTTGAAATAGAGATTTATAGATGTGCCAACTCAACATCCCAAATTTGAAATAGAGATTTAAAGATGTGCCAACTCAACATCCCAAATTTGAAATAGAGATTTATAGATGTGCCAACTCAATATTCCAAATTTGAAATAGAGATTTATAGATGTGCCAACTCAACATCCCAAATTTGAAATTTCCCAAGCGGAATTTTTCCAGAGGTTAGGTTAGCACTGTGATTTTAAGGCCTCAAGCTCTCCAGCAAAACTCGATGAGACTTTTGCCAATTATCTTAAAGTCAAATGTGCGTGTAAAGAACTAAAGAAAAGTTGTGAGTTAATCAGTAAAATCTAAGCCCAAGGTATTGCGACAGTTCAAAGTCGACCCTGTCTTAAAATTGATAAGACTTTTTTAAGCAGGCTGAATCTATTTCTTATTTCGATGCATTTGGGTCCGAGCGCTGCGGCCAACCGACTTGGGAAATGGCCGCTTGGAAAATTGCAAAGTTGGGAAAATACATTTGGGAGTTTGTCGTTTGGGACGAGTACCTAACCATAAATTAATAAGGAATGTCGTCTTTGCAATTTTCAAGAGCAATGCCGCTAAAAGGATTTTCAAAGGTTAAAGGGACTGTCCTTGAAATTTCAAATTTCACTGGACCGATGCACAACGGTACCCATCAAACCCATATACAATCAATCCTATTCTTGCAATTTCTTCTTTAGTTTCCTCAACAGAATTCCGCAAGATACTTTTAAAAGAAACCTCAATAATCGATCGGACGTCACATTAGTCAGACATGAATCAGACATGAATCAGACATGAATCAGACATAAATCAGACATGAATCGGACATGAATCAGACATGAATCGGACATGAATCGGACATGAATCGGACATGAATCGGACATGAATCAGACATGAATAAGACATGAATCAGACATCAATCGGACATGAATCAGACATGAATCGGACATGAATCGGACATGAATCAGACATGAATCAGACATGAATCGGAAATGAATCAGATATGAATCGGACATGAATCAGACATGAATCAGACATGAATCAGACATGAATCGGAAATGAATCAGACATAAATTGGACATGAATCAGACATGAATCAGATATGAATCAAACATGAATCGGACATGAATCGGAATTGAATCTGACATAAATCGGATATGAATCGGACATGAATCGGACATGAATCAGACATGAATCGGACATGAATTGGACATGAATCACTTGTAAACGTAAACAGTTCCTTATAATTTTATTTTTTAGACTTCTTTTTCTTTTTCCTTTTTTTCTTTGTTTTCTTTTTTGATCCTTTTGTTTTCTTCTTTTTCTTTCCTTTATCTTTCCTCTTCTTTTTCATGGATTTAGTTTTCTTCTTCTTCTTTTTCTTCCCCACTTTGGAATTCTTTTTTTTCTTTTTTTTCTTAGACTTTTTCTTCTTCTGCTTACTCCAAAGTTGCTTCATGGCTGAGTCATAAGCCTTGAATCCATATTTTGTAACGTTTTTCTTTTCGAATTGTTCCTTGGAACAAATTCTGAAACAAAACTAAATTTAGGATTATGAAAATGAAAGACGGAAAGATAAAATGTATTTTAAGATCTTGGATTTTTTTTATGAATATAAAGTAGTAATTTTATTTTGTATGATTGTTTGGATGTCCGATCATAACTCATGAACCCCTTGACCGATTTGCCTCAAATTTGGATTGGGGAACTTGGTTTAAGAATGTTAAGTGTAGTGAATTCTTTAAGCTAAAAAGCTGGGTTTCCAAGCTACAATTTCAAAAATTTGAATATCCAGTAATTTTGAAAGGGGTATTTTATGATAGTTGGTTCAAACAAAAAAAATGTAAAATGAAGGAACAAGTATATATTTGAAAATGTAAATCTAAATTTTTGAATTTCAATTTTTTTAAATGATATTTTGTTGATTAAATGCATATTCTTTTCATTGCCATTGGCCACGCCTACCATCATGGATAAAAATGGTTCATTCATACTGGAAAGTTTCCGCAGGAAAAATTCTGTCGGAGCATGAGTTTCCGGCACCCTTTTCATCCTCCGGAAAAAAAATTCTGACTGACACGGGAACGAAATTTTCGGTTGATACTCAATAGCCAACCAAATAATTAACATTACATTCTAGGAATTCCCCGACCAAAATTTTTGACAAACCCTTAAATGGATTTATGAGATTTGATTTTAAATATATAAAAAACAACATTTAATTATTAGTTTATTAAGATATCATCATGTTTAGAGGTACACTCTTACATAAAATCCATTTTGTAATCCTACCCTATATGGATCAAAAAGGAAATCAAAATATCTGTAAAAAATACGCCACATTAAAAAATCCGCGAAACGAAAACTGATATCAATATTCACCTTATGTTTGGGTGTTTTCTTTTTAAACACTCCTCATAGGTCTCTCCAGCCTAGGAAAGTCAGAATTAATCTTCAGGGGAAAATCGGCCAAAACTTTCAAAAGTTTTGAATCACGTTCTTTTAAGTGATTCAATACTCTAAATCTTAATCTTAAGTGACTCACTATGCAAAGATGGCCATACTCAAAATTAACCTTTTAAACATGATATATATATACGGGGTGTCCCACGAAACATAACAGTAGCAAGACGAATTGAAGGTCGTTTTTGATCCATGAAATAATTTGTATCATTGAGTTGTAAACTATAATTTTAAAAGTTAAATTATATAGTTAATAATAACAAAATAGCCGTAGTCTTGGCATTTCCAAAATGTGGTCTGCCTTTCTTGTGCTTTTAATAGTACCGGAGGTATCAAGAACTTCGTTCAGATTTTATTTTTGATAAAACTAAAATCTGAACCAAATTCTAAATATCTCCGGTAATATTTACATCACAAAAAAAGCAGACAAGATTTTGGAATTACCAGGAGTAGGAGAATATTGTGATTATTGTTTCGAGAATCATACATGTGAAACTAGGTTGACAACTGAATGTCACAAATAATGTTTCGTTGGACACCCTGTATCTATGTTTTTGTTTTCAATGTTTCGTGGGACACCCTTTATCTATGTTTTTGTTTTTAATGTTTCGTGGGACACCCTGTATCTATGTTTTTGTTTTCAATGTTTCGTGGGACAGGGTGTATCTTTGTTTTTGTTTTTAATGTTTCGTGGGACACCCTGTATCTATGTTTTTTGTTTTCAATGTTTCGTGGGACACCCTGTATCTATGTTTTTGTTTTTAATGTTTCGTGGGACACCCTGTATCTATGTTTTTGTTTTCAATGTTTCGTGGGACACCCTGTATCTTTATTTTTGTTTTTAATGTTTCGTGGGACACCCTGTATCTATGTTTTTAAGCGGTTTATTTTCTTTTGTGGTTCCTCAGAAAAACTGAGAATAAATGGTAAAAATAATAAGAATAAACTTTAAGAGTAAAAAAATGACATTATCTTTTTCATCTTTATTCAGATCAATGTTAAGGTTCCAGCAAATCTGGAAGCTCGGATCGGTCATTTTGAGGGGCTTATGGCGCCTCCCTGACCGAGCTTTAAATCTGGCATTGCCACTTTTGCATTCAGGGTCTCCTACAGTCCCTTTAAATCTTGAACAGATGATCGTCGTCTCAATAGTTTTTATATGAAATGCCGCTAGTTATTTTTTATTTATAGGTACTATAGCTGAAAAATGTCAGAACTTTTCATCGTGAATCTAGGGATTAAGCATTAATCTCCATCTCATGCAGATCTAGGGATACCCTGCAGAGATAGCTTGGTTCGAGAGATCAAGCCTTGATTCTCAAATTTAAAATTTAAAAGTGTCCACATTCGATATTAATATCAAGCGTTCAAGGTTAACATTTCCATAAAAAATTCCGATCTCTGACCATATTTTAACAAAAAAAAATTAATAAATCGAACCTTTCTTTTTAATTAAAAGAAATAGTGAAATAGTTCGATGCTTGATTTCGAACTTTTGTTAACATAGAGAATAGAATATATATTAGAGAGGAATTTAGAGAATCTCTCGGTATGAATTTTTGTAGTCCTTTTCAGCCTGAAAAGGAGTTCAAAGTGTACAAATCATGTAAATGTTGACAAATTATATGCAGTAGAGTACATTAATACAGTATGTTCCCTAGACTATTCATTTCAATTTCGAATTTTTTAAAGCTGTTAAATAAACTTTATAAAACATCATTTGATTTATAGTTATAACGGAAAATCATCATTAGTGAAGTGAAAGGCATAGAGTCTATGTGAAATGATCATTGGTCAATTATGAAACCAGCCTATTTCATAATTTGGTTTTCTTTTAACATTAATTTTAGATTTTCTATAAAATGATATTCCAGGGCCCAAAAGGTTATATAGCACAAATATGTGAAGTACACCTGCAGTATGGAAACAGTACAACAAAATGGCAGTTTTACACTTTTTTCTAGTAAATTCCACTCTAATATATATTCTATTCTCTTTGTTTGTTAATCTGTTATAGATTGATTTAATATTTATACCATATCCTGCAT